ATCCTCCCGCGACGCCGGCGTCAAACACATGCTGATGGTGACTGGTGACTTTGGCATGTTCTGCACTCGCTTTCCCTTCTTCTACCTCTGTCCCCTTTGCTTCGACGCCGCTTGGCCTTTTAGCTCTCAATTGAGTGCCTGTAGATTTCCACAACCTTCCATCCAAATGCATTGCATCGTATGGGCGTCCCTGAAGATTCTTCGTGTTCTACCTGGTCTGCAAAGAGCTAACATTAAGTTATCATTGTCTTCCTTGGCGCATTTCTATGTATAGTAATTTGAAAGGGGTTAGTCGAATTGTTGAACAATATAAAAATGGCGTTTCTCTCTCATTTGGGGTCCGTATACCTGGGTATCTTATGATGTTTTAATTCGTGTGGTAGGTTTGCTGCAATGCCATACCAAGTGCCTTACGATGTGCAGAGGGACAATCTGTACAAGATCCCCAGGACACTACGAATGGTGTATGAGATCTTGAAAAAGTTATGCTATTCCTCCAAGTTCGCTGGACTAAGAAAGATTTGATCTAAGAACAGCCTGTGATGCTCAGTCTTCCATATCTGCACTTACAGGTCACGTGTAATATGCTTCGGGCCGACAGCGGGCGAGAAAAAAATCCCGAATCGCGGCGACAACCGCCACCTAAGATTCCTCCTGGCAGAATTTGTGTTCTATACAATGAAATGAGCGTGTACAAACGGAGTGCACGTTTGGGATTCGAGGTTACAAGTGATCTGCGGTCGTCAAGTTCACGGTGCTGATTGTGTTCGGTATGAGAGCGGCGCTCCGCACCCCATTGCGGGCATCGGATTTTGATCCAGCGGCAGTGTTCAGATACAATCCGAATAGGTTCTTCTTGAGCCAATTCTCAAAGCGCAATCATTCATCTACGTCTTCTCTGCGATCTCCGGCCGTCACTCAAAGTCCATTGGGAGGTACATTTCGGCATCATTCACACGCACGACCGTCATTCCGCACATGTCCGTCGTCGCCGTCCTATTCTACGAAAACGACTACCTTGCCGGACGAGGTCGAGTCTCGGGACAATAGATCGGACCATTCAGGTTCACAGCAGTCGCGGAGGAGGATACTAAAGTATGCAATCGTCGCTGGTGTCGCGGGCGCTGCAGCGGTGACCTTATCAGACGATGCACGGCATCTATATCGCGCGGCGCAGCGCACCGGCCGAGTTGTGGGGACTCTGGCTGTCTGTATCAACGAGTAAGACCTGGCTTCTTGCATCTCAGACTATTGGCGTGTCACTTACAAGGGCTCTCCTAGTTACCGAGTCACTCTCAAGCAAGAGACTCCTACAGAAGAAGAACGACAAGTGTCTATCCGAGCATGTCACAAGCGTTGCGCAGAACGAACCCTACGTGTTCTCGAGAAGAATGGGTCCATCTTTATAAAGTTGGGCCAGCATCTCAGTAGCATGGGCTATCTTCTTCCGTTAGAATGGACGACGACCTTCGTCCCTCTTCAAGACAAGTGTCCCGTCTCGTCTATTGAATCCGTCGAGGAAATGTTCGTCACCGACACAGGCCATCGCATCGATGAATTGTTTTCGAGTTTCGAGCCATTACCCATTGGCGCCGCGTCTCTTGCCCAGGTCCACATTGGTACGCTGAAGGAGACTGGTCAGAAGGTTGCGGTTAAAGTGCAGCATCCTGCATTGGCCGAATGGGTGCCTTTGGACTTGGCATTGACACGGTTTACTTTCTCAATGCTGAAACGATTCTTCCCGGAATATGATCTAGAGTGGCTCTCGAATGAAATGGATTTCTCGCTACCCCAAGAATTGGATTTCCGCATGGAGGCAGAGAATGCTAGGAGGGCTAGTGAGTACTTCAAAAAGCACTCGGATGCTCCGTTAGTCATTCCGGAAGGTTGGTCATCGACTATAATGGCGAAACAGAAGTCCAGTGGCTTTGCTAACACCCGAATCAGTCATGTGGGCTCAGAAGCGGATTCTGGTTATGGAGTTCCTCTCAGGCCATCGCCCGGATGATCTCGAATATTTGGACTCCAACCAGATTGACCGTGACGAAGTCTCCGCCGCATTCGCGCATATCTTCAACGAGATGATCTTCGGAGACAATGCCCCATTACACTGCGATCCCCACGGCGGCAATATTGCCCTTCGCAAGAACCCCAACCGACGCCGTCACAACTTCGATATCATCCTCTACGACCATGGCCTGTACCGCGACATCCCACGCGACTTACGTCGAAACTATGCTAAGCTCTGGCTGGCGGTGATTGAGGCGGATGAAGGCGGCATGCGCGAGTATGCACGCAAGGTAGCAGGTATCACAGACGAGCAATTTCCCCTGTTCGCGAGCGCAATCACCGGACGAGATTACACGGTGCTAGCCAAGAAGGATGTCGCTTCTCCACGAACAGCTGCCGAAAAGGAGAACATCTCCGGCGCGCTCGGGGAGGGCATGCTGCAACAGCTTGTTGAGTTGCTGGGCCAGGTACCCAGGATCATCCTCTTGATTCTGAAGACAAACGATCTGAGTAAGTGATTCGCGCTCACAATGCACTCATTTCCTTCTTTCTGTTTTATTCTCGGAATCCCCGCTAATATCGCCTGCTCTCCACCTTCAGCCCGCAGTCTGGACGAAAATCTACATACCCGACAGGGTCCCGTACGCACATTCCTTATCCTGGCCCGCTATGCCACTCGTACCGTCTTCGAAGAGAAGATGGAGAACATCAACGAGACCGGCGGCATCCTCCGTCCGCTCAACTTCTTGCGGTTCCTCTGGGCCTGGACGGGCTATCTCCGGGTTGAATTGAAACTGTCCGTCTACGAGACTCTGCTGTCTCTGAAAAGTCGGCTCGGGTTGATCGGGTAGAAGAGCGGCCAGCTCTTCTTCATACCGTTCGACTTTCTCCAGTCCGACGTCCTTGTAACACTGTACAATCTTCTTTCAATCTTCATCATCTAGACAGGACGGATCGGATGGGTTCCGTCTGTCCGTGCATCATCAGCGACGGCGTTTTTCGTTTCTTTCCCCCCTTTTCTGTTTTCTCCACATGTATAGAGATTCGTTCAAAGACTTCTTTTGTAAGCCTAGACGTCTTTCATTTAGATAGATCCAATATCTGTTCACTTCAGCCTGATACCTCATAGTCCAATGCGATACCTTGCTTACAGGACGGCTCCACGCCTGCCGAGGATGAGTTTTCTTACAGCCCTGTTGAAACCAAGGTAGCGTACGAAAACTACGTGATAAGGCCTTTGAAATGAAACCATATCAGAGATGCACATTCTTATTCACGAACCTATGACTGAACCTATGACTGAACCAGATTCATGATCATGATGCCATGTTCAAGGCACAAAGTAAAAAGCATGCAGTAGAAATGAGAAACGAAAAAAAATATACATCAACCCGTCAGTTGAATTCAATGAAGCAACGCATGCTTTAATGATTCAAGCAATCTGCAGTCTCGGTACGCCAGTCAATCGAACAAATAAACCCTAACAGATCTCATCTGGTATCGCCGTAATAGTGTTTGATGAATATATTGTTACTTTTCATGCACGAGCAGATCACAGGCTCGCGGTGCTTCCGTCGGTCTTTTCCACGTTGGGAATGGAAGCCGCAGTGCCAGAAAGATCGGTCTTAGCGGCCTTGGGGTTCTTGGTGTAGTAGTCGTTGATGGCGGACTTGATGGCGTCCTCGGCAAGCATGGAGCAATGTAACTTGACGGGGGGCAGGCAAAGTTCCTTGGCAATGTCGGTGTTCCGGATCTTAGCGGCCTCGTCAAGCGTCATTCCTCGCACCAACTCGGTCAGGTAGCTGGAGCTGGCGATCGCGCTACCACAGCCGAAAGTCTTGAACTTGACGTCGGTGATCTTGCTGGTGTCCTTATCGACCCGGATCTGAAGCTTCATCACGTCACCGCAAGCAGGTGCACCGACCAGACCGAGACCGACATCAGGGGCATCCTTGGGTAGTGAGCCAACTACAAATATGTCAGTTCCTGTAGAAGGATGTACATGGTTGACCAAGAGCTTGAAGAATGCTGAAACTTGAGATCCTCCTCGAGCGCATAGGAGACAGATGAAAGTTGATTGGTCATAACAGTCTTCTCGTAGAACTTTGTATAGTGATTGATTCTTTGGGAAAGTCGAGGCCCAAAAACAGATCAGTGCCCTCCCAGGTGTAGAAGACCGCTTATAGGATCCGTCTTCATTTGATGAGACTTCGCCCCGCGGTCCTGACAGGAATTTTTTTGAACGAGAAAGACCACGGCTGACGATTCATCTGTCTCCCATCGACGCTTCGATAGAAAAGAGGAAAAGAAAGCAGCATATCAAGATTGCAAACATACCGTTGCGTGGGTTGTTGTAATGGTCTAGCAGTGCAAAGAAGGTCAGCATTTGGCTGGTCCGGACGAAACATCGCAAACTCATCGATCTACTTATCTTTCTCGTGATAACTTCTCCTCGGAGGAGCAGGAAACGCCCTGTTGATGGGTTGAGCCTGGATACCGGAAATGGCCGGCGTAATGCGAGGCGACACGACAGTGCCGACTGAGCGAGGGGCGATAGTAGCCAAACGGCGGAACATGGTTGATGGATGTGTAATTGATTTCCGTATAGCTAGCGATTAAAAGGTAATGCGCGGTTGGATTTATGATGAGGCAAAAGAGAATGCTGATAGAGTATGATGATGTACCCGAGGTTGTGATGTAGACGAAAGATCGATTAATTATTCTTCTGGGGCTCGTCTGTGCTTATATGCGCTAAACTAAAACCAGCAACACCGTCGCCTCCGCTCCGTCCGGCCTCGGAGATAACTACACTATGACGTTCGGGGGTGTTCGCCATCAACTGTTTTAACCAGAATAGGCATTAAAATGCCGACTCCAAGAGCTGATTAATTCGTACTGAAGATCAAATCAGGGCTGGCCCCTTATTTACAGTGGTCCACCGATCCAAATTGCGGTAGTGTCTTCTACGATGGTGTTCTAAGGCGATTCTAGCACAGCAAAGAACCTAAGCTTGACGCGGAACTGATTGATTACCCCCATGATACCGTGGCTGGGAATCTGCAGCCAACAGGTGCCTGTATTTGTGGTACTGGTTAACGTAATTAATTGCTTATCTTCCTGCCCTCCATCTGATAAAGGAGCTCGGGGGAAACGTTACGCCGATGTCCGCCCACCTTCACACCACCCAAGATCTGCCTTGGAGACATTGAATGGAAGCAGTCAAGACGGATTGAAGTCATCTTACCATGACTCAAAAAGGACGAACGGGGAAACCCTTGGGGAGGACTACCGGAGTAAGTGCAACTTATTGAATATTCTTCCAGCGCTTGTCACAGCTCTGCCTCAGAAGTGGCATTCTATTGCCCTGAAGTAACAACGTAGTAGTCTCTCAATGCTCCAATAGCTGCCTTTACCATGGCAATTATTCTATGCTCTTACTGCATCAGTTCCATCAACTCCGCTCGCCGCGAGGCACAATCGTCCCCAGTCACCGCGACTACAAGGGCCCAGAAGTTCTCCGTGGAAAAGTCCGACCAATCATGGGTACAGCAAGCATTAGAACAGAGCAGAGATGCAGAGCGGCGAAATCGGTCGAGGTAGTCCTGCGTTAGATTTGTACGATAGCAGAGGCTTGAGATTGATTGAGTTAAAAAGGAGACCAAGAAAGAACGCTCATGATTGTTGCGGCTTGGATTAAGATAATGATGCACTAAAATTTCTGAGGTGACCTTTCCACACAATGCGTCGTTGTCAAGTTCATCTCTCGAAGTCCATGATCAGAATTTTCAGTGTATGTGAATAGTCATATCCAGAGGGTTTTGTAATCTGGATCTACCATTTCATTTGAATGTTCATCATATCAAAGGAAAGTCGAGGATAACTTGGGAACTCTGCCCTCCTTGCAAGACAACATACAGAGACTGATATCTGCAATGTGACCTCATTCAGGTTTAAAATAACAGCTCTGATGATAATAAGCAATGCAGCCGTGCCCCTTCATCAAAGGCAGGCCTTGCATGAATTTTTCGCTGTCATAAGGCATGTTGTTGTTTTTGAGATGGAGGGGAAATTGCTTAAAAATTGAAAAATCAATATGGGAGTAATCTGTCGCTTATTCAATCACGTGATTTAGAGTGACATCATCTCACGGTACCTTAACAAAAACAAACAATTCAGAGAGGTAGAGGCATCATTTGGTGTTTTGAGGACGATCTACTGAGTCTGCGTATCGGAAACATTGCTCAATGTTTAGTATTATCTGCTTGGTGGCGGTATTTCGAGGAGTTGAGAACGTCGATATGGTTTGAATAATAATGTATGTTTGTATGTACAAAGATGCAGGTCATGCAACGCAACCGTCAAGGGGTGAAATAAACGACAATGTGACAACAAATACCGCTTTGTAAGATACGTATTCTGCAAAGCATGACGACCAGTATATCAGTGAGTTCATAAGCCCCGCAAATGTCATAGCGATGACCATGCTCTTACGCCTTTTCCTGGCGTGAGCTGAGCGTAGGACAGCCGAATGATCGCCCACTGCTCCAGCGTACCGATTATAGTATGGTCAAAGCTGGAGACGGATGAGTACATACTCAGCTCAACTGGCCACCTAGTGAGAATAGAAAGCCCGTAAGTCAACCTCTAGGGGTTTCAATATTGCATTGTTCAACCGAAACAGGACAAGAACAAGACACGTCTAGTATGCGCCATTCGCTGCTTATTTACTCATCCTGCTGCAACATGGCTCTTTCTCTATCATTTGCCATACGCAGCTTCATTTCTCCCTCATGTTGCAAGTGGCCGATCAGCTTACGGAGATACTCGTAAGTAAGCATTGTGGTCATGGCAGCCGGCACAGCCCGGAATAGATTCACCCCGATGCCGGAGTAGAATGCGCGCCAGCCTTCCTCCCTCAGAATGGTCTGACATGTACGGATCACGCCCGTATACCGCGGGCGGTTGGGCATGCCGTCCGATGAGGCCGCTCCTGGAGGCCTCCCGCGGTCTTGTGGGTGATCTAGCCCTCCACGAAATGAGATCCCTTCGGGAGAAGGCGCTGGAGATGTTCTCTGCTGTGTCTGAAGTCTTGTCCGTAGCACTTCATGCGGGTAGGTTAAGGTGCTGGCACAAACTTTGCTTAAGAATGTTGCACAAGATATGCCAATCCAGTGGGAGCTACCGTTATCAGGATGTTCCCCTATCCCGTACCCCGTAAAGGCCATCTTCAAGTATTCGTATAGCGGGAACTGAATGGCGACGTGCGCTAAGCCGAGTAACGCCGGGGTCAGCCCAGAATAAAATGACCTAATCCCTTCGGTCCTGTACATTTTGCGGGCTGCATCCCAAGTGCTTGAGTACTGCCATGGAGCCGTGTAGCCTTCACTGTTGGACTTGAGGCTTTGTGACATAAGCCGCGTTTTAATGACCCAGATTGGATTAGTCGCTATAGTAGAGCAAGCACCGGCTGTTATTGACGCATAGCCTCTGGCAAGCCACCAGCTATCTGTTGACGTGACACGGGTTATTAGTCTTTACATTCTACCTTCAGAGTAAGGAATACCACAGAGATACTTACCGGTGGTTTGGTAGAAGTATTCTCGAGATCGGTCATAGACAGCCAAATATACGGCCCAGGTAGGCAGATATCCCAAAAGCATGGGACCCAATCCTTGATATAGGCCCCGAATTCCATCTTGCCGCCATATGATCCGCCCGGTACCTAGCATACCACGATAAAGGGTTTTCGCCTCAACGACTCCGCCGCCTCGTCGGAGAAATCCGCCTTGCGCCTGCAGCTTCGTCTTGATCACATCAAGGGGACATGTGACAATGCCAGAGGCCACACCGGCACTGGCGCCGCAGAATGGCGCAATGTAGTAATCTGGTATCTTTGTAGACCATATCTCAAGATTTGTGACGAACTTGGAGCTGGACCGAGCTTCAGGTGGAACTTGAATGTCTGATGACGCAAGGTCGTTCGAGTGCGATATCTGCTGCTCCTCAGAGCTGCTGGCGGCTCCTGAATTGCCGTGACCGTCGGAAAACATCGCTCCGTCCCTAGCAGCTTTCTCTGTCCGTCTTTGCAATCAACGAGGGCTCCCGGAACCGAGCATGTCGGTGCTCGCTCCGGAACCCAGTGAACCCTATTCTAACCAGGTCTCGACGTAAATATTTCTCCGTCAATTAGAGCGGTAGCAGGAAGCGACACAGTCTGGCGTAGACGACTAAAGGAATAAGTGTAATAGAGCTGATGTTGGCGAATGCGCTGATATGCCTGGAATTTTGTCTATTCGGAGGTGCAGACGGGGCGGGGCCGGTAGCAGTGACACAGCTCCAGTGTAGGAGCAAAATGGTAAGTCAACGGATGATGAACCCCATACCAAACCGGCAAGCGATACCGGGTTCAATTATGTAAATGATAGGAAGTCTGATCGATGGGAAGATGGATACAAGGCGAGAACCGGGCCGCCGGGATGATTGTGGACAAGATCAATCAACGTACCTCTTTCGGCAGTCATGTGGATTGACTTAGTTACTGAGTCCATCCCGGTCCCAAACGCCAGGGCTGCAGCCTGAGGCATGAGATCACATGACATCGATCGGAATCCTTATAGCCATATTAGATGCCTCAGGCTGCAAAATCGGATGTTTTTGGGAAAGTCATCCCGGCCGGACCTCCGTTTTGCACAATCTCCAACGTCGGGTCACTCTTTGCAGCTTGACTGACCTTCGCGATCTTCCCTCCCACACCACGCCCTCAATTGGATTCCCGTCCACATCCATCTGGGATCAGTCACCATGTCCGCTCCTTCTCTCACCAACTACATTGTCAAGCGCCCATGGCTCAAGCGCTGGATGATGCCACTTGCCCAGTGGTATACCGACGCTGCCGGCTACAGGAAACTCGGATTGAGGTAGCCAACCCCCGCTTCAACCCTCTCAAGATGAGCGCCAGATGAGCATTTTATGCGACAGCGACGTTCTTGAAGTTTACCGCTGCTATACGACGTCCAATTGTGCATGATTCCTCTCTGGTCGTTTATTTGGGACATATGTTTCTCCTGACCTGTCTGTGCAAGCAGTCAAGCTGATTATTATCAGATTCGATGACCTGATTCCCGAGGAGACCGACGTTGTCCAGACTGCCATTAAGCGTCTTCCTCCCAAGGAAGCCTACGACCGCGTCTTCCGTATCCGCAGAGCTTTCCAGGTGCGTCTCCGTGTAGATTGCTCCAGGACATCAACGCTAATTTGCCTCGTCAACACAGTGCTCCGTTTCCCACACCCTCCTTCCCGCTCATGAGCAGACCAAGCCCGAAGAGGTGAGTCGATTTCGCATTTCTATACTTACTCCGGCCTCGTCAATTCCCCGCATACAGTATTGGCCAATCCCGTAAAGCGGATTTGTCAACTGGCTTCTGTCGGATTTATCACACTTTTCCGGTCTCGAGATGCGTCCAGAAAGCACTTGTGGTTATATAAAGCAGCACCATGAATGCTAATTTTGCTTTTCTAGGACGTCGAGTACCTGAGCCCTATTATCCGTGAGATCGAGAGGGAGAACAAGGAGCGTGTGGACCTCGACACCCTCGTTGTTAGACGGTAAATTGCTTGATCCCTAGTCATAACGCTTAGAGAATACGGAATCGTGTCACTAGGGTAATAGACGGACGGAAAATAACAAGGAAGGGGTTGTACGATTTAGCGGCTGTGCTTTGCCCTACGAGCCTGCGGCTGAATTTTGATTGAACTTCGGATTTATTGCTCAAGTCATGTGTACTGTTACTGTACAAATTCATCGTCGTTTTTCCTGATCCTCCGCTTGTCATGCAAATCCACAGCCGCAGTGGTGATGCATGTATGTTCATCCCTGGTAGTGAAGACTGGGCCGAGTTCGACCTTCAGATTGTACAATTCTGAGTTTATTTGTCACAGTGTACGACATAATTCATGCGTATTCGACGCAGTACTGCCGTCTAAACTGAGCGGTGTCATCCTTTTCAGGCATTTATATGATCAAATTTGAGTAGTGACTATATATACTCGAGGAATGTCGCATGTGGGCCTCTCAAGCGTTCATTACAGTGACATCGACATCCTCTACCCGCCACATGTACCACATGAAAAGGCTCCTGCGATGCTAACGTGAGAACGAATTCCTTATGGCCCAGCTTACAGAAGTAAGTGAAGAAATTGCAATGCCAACTTACCTGTACGGGGCGAACTTCGCGGCCAGTTCCAGCATGTCTTTCTCAGCCATGTACTTGAACTTACCGCCTCCTTTAGCCTTCAACTTACTCACGTCTTTTCCCATGAACGCCGCGCAGCCTCTCCTGTTTTCATCATTAGCGGGTTACGCTTGCCAGGAGTAGTCGAACGCATATTGCTGCGATGAGGTTCGGCATGGTCCATGATTAACTTACTGCACGCCGAGATCTCCAGTGGAAAAGACATCAATGCGCTTTAACGCAAAGCAGGCAAACATCTCAACGGACCATCTGCCTAGCCCTCGGACAGCAGTCAACTTCTCCATGAGCTCTTCGTCACTGGCATTGAGCAGCATCCTCGCACTGAGTTCCCCGGTAGCGAATTTCTGGGATAGCCCGTGGATATATTCTGCTTTTCGCTGGGAGAGTCCAGCCGTGCGTAGCGTAGCGAGGTCGCATTGGACGACCTCCTCTGGTGTTGGGAACCGATGCGGCTTCGCAGGGTCCTGTCCGTCGTTTTCCCTGTTGAACAAAGCCACGAATTTGTCCTTGATAGATCGGGCTGCAGCGCCTGACACCTGTTGCCCGATGATACTGCTGACGAGACTGCGGAAGGGGTCGATCACCTCGGCCAGTCCCTCAGGGGAAAATAGAGGACACGGATGTCGCCTGATGAGCGGCTCCAGGCGCGCGTCTGTAGCGATTAGATGTGCCACGGCTTTCTCGAGGAGTGTACCGGTCGTAGCAGTCGGACGGGGTCGACCGGTCTTGGAGGGGGAGAGACTCTCCGAACCGGGCGGGTAGGCAACGAGAGAGGAGCCATGGGGTGTTAAGAGTGTTGCGTTTGTTCTGTGCGGTTCGACAGGTCGGTCAAGGGGAGGAGGGGTGGCATGTAGTCTGCTCGGAGGGTCGGTAGATATGAGATCAAAGTTGTTATCTGACTCCGCATTTTCGTTTGAGACGGGTATGGTTCCGGTATCTGGGAGAGTTACGTCGAGAGGGAGCTGTTCGGCACTGATTTTCAGGTCATTGATATCTTTTCTAGACCGGCTTTTCGCTTTGTTGACCCTGCTGCTGGACTGAGGCCGGCTTGATCTCTTTGGTGGACTCGGCGGTTGCGGTGGCAGCACTTTGTTATTGAGCGCCGAAGTCAGGCGGGCCGAGCGCCGGAGGGTCATCATGAAGTCGAGACAACGACAGAGAGAGATAATAATTGTGTCTTCTTCTTGTCCCTTCTATCCCTGCTAAAGAGTTGGTGTCTTTTCGATGATCGCTTGCTGGGATGACGTTCGGGGTGAGTACATTCATCCAGATTCTGATGAAGTCATCCGCTCCGAGGCTCGTATTGAGTGAGACACTTGTATCCATATTGGCTGTCTCAAGGGTCACAGACGGTCCACGGTCTTTTATACAGCTTGTTGTCGAGATTAGTATACGACGAAAGTAGATAATTGCTCTCCATGGCACGATGTAGCTCGCTTCCGATAATGAGGACTTCATGATTGATTACCGTTCTTTCGCCTACGGCTACTCCACCATATGTCCACTACTTCATCTGGGCCATGTTAAAACCGAGTTATTTATCTGCCCATTCAGAATAAAGGTATCTACAGAGAACTTGACTGCATGTGTCTTGCACAAACTATAACCAGCTTTTAACCGCAGACTTAGAGTAAGGATAACCAATCCCGTCTGATATATTTGTGCAAGCGAATTGCGTTTCTTTTACACAGAGGGGCCCTCAAGAAGCTAGCTCAACTGCCCACTAGCAGGGAACTGTTGGGTTACAACTTATTCAAATAGTATTCCAGATTGACAACGCATAGGACCTCCCAGCGGTTCGGACAGATTCTAATGTCATCGGATCTGTAGTCAAGGGGAGGTAGTATGCTCTGGTACAGTGCAGAAGATGAAATTGCAAATATAAGGATACTTCTTGAAGATATCTTCCAGAATATGAGCAGCGCTTATACCGGCCTTTCCCGCGCTCAAGTCCACCATATCCTCAAACGACATCTGGCCATATAACGACTCTTGCGTCGAATAAACATAGCTCTAACGCGCCGAGTCGAGCTGATACAGCCTAGAACTTAATGCACGCAATGGCAACCTCTATAAAAATCGGGCTTAAGTCATTCAGGTCTTCATAGAAACTCAAGGCTGATTGAGGCCTACCCTGAGCAATAGCAGTCTTTAGAATCCTGCCCAGGGAAGCACACTGCTGAAAGTTAGCTGCAAGTGATACGAGACGAAGCCGTGTTTTAGCGCACGTACCTCGGTGTTGCAAGAAGCAGCATTGCAGTCTCTGCACGAAGAGGAGGCGCCCACTGACCCCGGGGCCTTGTCCACCAATCCCATATTGGTAGGGAATGCAGAGCAGCTCCAGGCGGTAATCGCCATAATAAAAAGGGTGGAAATTGTCATGATGAAAGCCTGTTCGCTGAAGGCGAAGATCAAGAGACAAGGTCACAGGATGCTAGTTAGTAGCTAGAGAACTATGTTATGGAAAGGAGTCAAAGACAATATTCTCTCAACGAGGGAAACTCAGTATTTATCATAGGCTTTAGAGAATACATTCGATATATTGCCAAGTCGCACGCGATTCTGGAACAAGAAGCTATCAATGGTAAATGGTTTAGTGGAACACTGCAGAGGTTTGTCTGGGTCCTCCGGGAAGAAGGAAACAACCAAGAAGGCATTATCCTAACTAGAACAAGCGTCAAATCCGAGGGGGAACTGTTAGAGTTGAAGCAGGATTCAGCCGGCTATCTACTGATGGAGAACAAGTCATATGCCTCCTCTATCTAACAATATCCTGTGCTGTTATTAGTGATGTGACCACAGGAGACCAGTCAAGGACATACAAGGTGAACACAGGCATGATGATGCATTGAGGTGCTCAGCTGGTTCCTCTACGCCAATTAATTCGAAATCTGAGGCGCGGAGGCCAAGTTTGAACTCTGTGAGTAATAAAGAAGACCTCTTACTCAGGCAATGGCAGTAGTACCATGCCGTGATACCCCAATATTCCTAGAGCACTGTCAGCAGCACTTCAGTCTTTCCCAAGTCGCATTCTATAATCTTATTTTCGTCTTTGCTTTGCATGGTGCATACTCCTTAGGAGAGGATTCTAGGAATGAAAGATAACGAAGTTCACTTTATTCCTGTACTTGACATCTCTGTGTGAACATCGCACATACTGAGGTGGAACAGGCTGACATCTTGAGCTGCTTATGACTTGGCTCTTTCTAGGCTCGGCGCATGTGAGATCACCTGGATGACTCCATGAGACAAGAACCGCGTGTGATCATAGCTAGGCCATAATATATCATTAGCAGGATCCCAAGAGTATGAGAGTTGGTTATGACACTTAGCTAGAAGCTCCAAAAGCAATAGATCTGCTATAATTATGATATTCAATACGGCAAAAAGGATGGCACAATGCATGGGGTATGATGAATGGATTAAGGTAAATCTCAGGCATGGAGGGGAAGCCGTGAAAAGAAAATGATGGAGTGTGCAATGAAGTTAAAGCAGTGATGAGAGGGCAAGTTTATAGAACATGCACATCAATGCCAAGGAATAACATGATGCTTTTCCAAAATAAAGATGCTAAACTGTTTCCAGTAATTCACCATCACCGCAGAATACAGAGTTGAGCTGGAGTTAAAAGATAGTGTGTTGTCTGTACTTTAGGAGACATCTATGAGTACTCCGTAGTCAGTTGTATAGCTTTGTTTAGTTCAACTGTTTGGCTTTATCGTATTATCCAGCCACCCGTCCTATGTGGCGTTCTGGGGAACGTGCCTGATAAATAGTCACTTAAGATTACACACAGTCGTACTGGTAAATTAGCGCACAGGTACAGCAGGGTGACGTCGAAGTAAATGTCGAACATCAAAGCAGGATAGTGTCGCAGGATATCAAATGGTCCAATTGCTAGAACGAGGGCTGGTTGCAATTTTCAAGCGGGTCATCGTCAAAGTTCTGACCAAGAGCTTATCCGTTATTGTGATATGCAAGTAGCTACGGGTATCAGTGGAGTTCTTCGACTCCTAATAACAACTAAACAGTGTGGACGGGAAAAGATCTCTCAATGGACCGAGACACAATTATCAATGATTATGAATCATTGGTCCCCTACACATACATGGCCAGACGAACCGAGTTGTCAACTAGAAGAGCTGGTGTTGATAAACTTCTGTCATATAATTGGGTGGCTCCTTGTTCTACAGATCATGATCTGTTGAAGTATTCAAACAATGACTAGATAACTGGTTATGGTTACTTAGTGCCATGCTCATCAAGCCTTTCTGCACAGCCATACTTTACTTGACAGGCAAGCCATCACTGACAAATGTAGAGTACCTGAAGAATCGAGAGGAGAGTCTAGAATATGAGATAGATTGACTTGGCCATCCCTATCATTTTCTACTCTTTATATTTTTAGCTCCATAATTTTTCCATGAAGGCATAGCTCACCATTGCAGGATTGTTTCATGGATCCGCTAACCTACTTAAGTGGGTCTAACCAAGATGGAGTCTCTTCGATGGTACTGGTAAGTTACAAAACTAACAGAGTATTTCATTATTATTTGTTACCTACAATCCTACCTACTCGGTACTTAGACTGGGATAAACACTCCTATCCAACCTCAAGATAAGAATGCCATTATTGAGCTATTGAGTAATTGAGTATTTTGTATTAGGACTTTCATTATTTCTGGACTCTGCCAACGTGTGCAGCGTATTAGGAGCTATGTATATAGTTAGCTACGCACGCAGAGCTTGCCAAAGAAAGGAACAAGCAATATCGGGCCGCACGCATATTCGCCACTTAATTAGTTCTAGCCTGGCCGTCTCAATTGATGTCTGACTCGCCTAATGGAATGGCACTTTGCCTACTTTGCCTTGTGCCTGACCTAGTGGCATAATGATGATGAAAACATATTTAAACTAGAACCATCTGTAGCGTGGCTGGACGATCGTGGAAATAGGAAATCATAGTCAGTCCATCTATCTACGTAGTAGAAAGACACTGTGATATTATGGAGTAGATATCCGAGAAATACAGTTTGGTACCCTTTTTTTAACGTTCAATAATAGGGATCATTTGCATGGCAGAAAGTGGCGAGGATTGACAATAAATCAATCTAGCTTGCAAACGGCGCAACGGACTTCTGAGTCCCAACCTCCTTGAGGCTTTCGATATTCTCACATTCTATAATCCGTAGCCCAGGTGATGACACTCATGCCAGGAGAGCGGATCCATTGATTCGAGAATTTCAGATATTATTATCTGTCTCGCTATCACAGACAGGCCTTGCTTCTTACTAAGGAGTCCAGTATCTGAAACAATAACATTCTAAATACCTTACACATATTGATTGACTGATAGCTGCTTCCATCGACGGTCTGCTAGACCTGGACAAACTGAACCGAGTTGTAGATATCGTTAGTACTCTTCATAGCAAAAGGAATTGATGTTTTAAGGATCAATAATGAATGATTGGATGTGGCTATTATTTGTTTACAATGTTGCATTTGGATCTATCTTGAGGAGTCTAGCCACGGACAACAATTTAGAAAAATGTCACCTATCAATACTGGTGTATTTCAGAAAATGTTGTATCAATGTACGGATTGCACCAGGTAAGGTACTTGTTCACTGGTTCCATGGAGTAGCTCAAACCCCTCCTTTTCCCTGGATGACGGCTTATGGCCAACAGTAGTTCATGTAATTAGGTTGGTACTCTGTACTATTGCTGCAAAGGAGATAGAGGACCTTTATAATACATCATCAAGTGCCTCTGTTCCTGGATAAAGAGTAATAACAACTAATGGATACAAATTCTGACTATTACCAACTGTATTGTAGCCAGGAACGTACTCTGTACCCAAGGTACCTACGTCCAAGATTACGTATCTCAACCACCGCGGCCACGATAAACAAAAGGGAATGGTGCGCTTTGAATGGTCAAAAATGACGGGAGCCAGAATGGAGCCAGAATGGAGCCACGGGGCGAATCATCGGCAGCATTGCAGCACAATTATTGGTGACAGTGTTACAGAATGGAGCCACCTAGAAGCAACGGGCTCATTACCGAGCCTAAGAATCAGGATTCCTGGAGCGCAATCTGGCTTGTGACGCACCTTGTGTATTTTCCCTCGTATGAGTCTCTGAATTCATTACCGAGGACAGTGGGAAAAGAGCAGGGCCTAAGAAAAAAAAATAGTAATTGTCTTACAAGGAGAATGTGAATCAAGTTTACCGGACCCGGTGCTGGGGCCCACGCCTCCTTTCTTGTCTTGTCCTCCCTGAAAGCACTTTCCTTTCCGACTGCCTTGTCTTTTGAAGGTTCCTTTCCAATCAATTCTCCATCCAGTCTTTTGTTCTCTTTTCTTCTCCTTCTTTCCCTTCATTCTCTTCTTCGTCCAACGTGCTTGCCGAATTAGTCCACTTTCGTTGAAGAAATCACCGCTTACAGCTTCTCCTTCGTTTTGACCTTCTCACCTTCTTTCGCTCGTTCATCTATTTTTGTCTGCCAAACTCTTGCAGCTACTGCTATTCGCCCATATTAACCTCTTTAAGGGCTGAGCATCGCCCGCTCTACATCTCTACCTCATTGAACATTGGTAAGTCTCATCACATCCATATCTCTCTCTCTACCCCCTCTCTCATCTTCTCTCTCATTACATTCCCAGTGTGGTCTTTTCCTGCTCGTGAAGATGGATTGTCGTGGGACCCTTACTCCATGCCAGCCTGCGAAGCCTGCTAATGACATTACTGACCTTGGTTTGAGAACTTAGTATAAACAGCATTTAGCAATGGCTTTCCTCAAGTACGCTCTTCCTGCCCTGGCTGCAGCCCAGGCCGTCCTTGCTGCCGGTGAGTGAACCATCACCCCCGACTCCAACGAATCTGAAATTGCGAGGGTGGGAGCTGATTGTTGGCCCAGACTGCGGTAAGACCGATGAGACCATCAAGATTGCCAGCCAGAGCGATGCCGACGGCTACTCCTCCTGCTCGACCATCAAGGGTACCATTGAGATCGACGAGCACATCTCGGGCGCTATTACCTTCAACAACGTGAAGCAGATTGACGGCACCCTCAGCTGCACCGGTGGCGCCAACATCTCTTCCATCGCGGCGCCTCTGCTGAACTCCATCGCCGAGACTTTCAAGCTGGATGGCCTTACCACTCTGACCACCCTCAGCTTCCCCTCTCTTACCAGTGTCGGATCGATCCAGTGGACCGCTCTGCCCCAGCTTCAGAGTCTTGATTTCACCAAGGGTGTCAAGGAAGCCGGTGATGTCTCGATCACCAACACCGGTCTGGCTAACCTGAACGGTATCTCGCTGAACACCGTTGGCAAGTTCGACATCACCGAGAACACGCAGCTCAAGTCCATCAACATCAACAACCTGAAGAACGCAACTGGCCTGATCAACTTTGCTGGTAACCTGAACTCCCTTGAAGTGGAGCTGCCCAACCTCTCCAGTGGTACCAACATGACCTTCCGCAACGTCAGCGCTGTCTCCATCCCCTCTCTCCACAATCTGACTGGTCAGCTTGGCTTCTGGGGCGACGCCTTCACGTCTTTCAGTGCTCCCAACCTCACCGAGACTGGAGACCTGGTTTTCAACGCCAACAGCAAACTCACTAACATCAGCATGCCAGCTCTCGAGACTGTCAACGGTGGCTTCCTGATTACCCGCAACGATGAGCTCAGCAGCATTGATCTGCCCTCCCTGCAGACTGTTACTGGTGCCGTTGACTTCAGCGGCAAGTTCGACGAGTAAGTGACCTTTTCCTGCTGGCCGAAATATCGCACAACATGCTAATCATTCAAATTGCAGAGTGAGCATGCCCAAGCTCGAGAACGTCAAGGGCCAGTTCAACTTGCAGAGCACCGGCAACTTCAGCTGCGACACCTTTAACAAGGCCCATGACGACAAAATCATTCACGGTACCTACAAGTGCAAGGCTGCCGAGCCTAACCCTACTACCAAGGATGGATCTTCTGGCACCACCACTAGCAGCGGCAGCTCTGCTTCCGCTTCCAAGTCTAGCGCTGCTGATCTCAACGCTGCTAACCTCCCCGCTCTCGGATTCGCCGCCGTTTTTGGAGCTCTGGTGCAGTACGCTTTGTAAAGGATGGCCGATACCAGGAAATTGCATGTGGTTTTGTTTGTTTTCCAAAACTCCTTGCCGGGGTGTGTAGAGCTGTCTAATAAGCCATGGTTTTTTTTGATTGCAGTGCTTTGACTGTTTTTATGATAATAATCGAATTTCATTTGAGCAACCTTACAAACGTTCAAGACTGAATCTACTGGCGAGACGGTGTGGGATGTGCCTCTTAAGCAATCAACCCTCATTAGATCGTGGCTATGTACTTGACATCATGCGGACTTTGTAAGACCTGCGTAAAATTGTCCGCAGTAGGTACAAACAAGTCCGGGCATAGCACAAGCTCGTGTATGTGCATCAGATCGGATACATGCATGCACATATCTCCAGGATACGCATGCGTGGGAGTTCGTTTTCCGCGAAGCTACTCATGGCATCATGGAAGACGACAGGTTGAGCATTCAAGAGACCTCTATGTGCGTTACAAATCACAGATGAAATCGCGACTAGGTAGTGAAAAAAGTGGACAAAAAAAGAGAGCAACATCCATTTGGAGCCGTTCGCTTTTATCAATTGAGAACGCCACGCTAAGAGAAAACCGAGACACTGGAAGACAGAAAGGGGATATGAACCAAGCAGATGCGACTAGATCACATGAAAATGAGCGTCAACCGCCCTTCATTTTAGGAGTGGCCGCGATGCGAAGGGCGCCGTACCGTAAATCAAGAGCATTGATTAGACCGAAGGAGAATACGAGATTTTGGAAGGTTCATCGTGCCATCCGCATAACAATTCTCAGACTTCTAGAGAGCCGGATTCTCCTTGACAACCTGGCGCACGCGCCGCTCGTACGCCGGCCGGTCCTTCTTGAATAAGTTGTAGGCTTCAGCTTGCGCGGGGGACTCTGGGTTCGGGTCGTCGAGTAAGTCTTGGATTCCCAGAAGGATCTGCTTGATTGTGATGGCCGGCTTCCAGGCTTCTTCTTCGTTGAGGATTGAGAGGCAGACGGTGCCCGAGGGGTAGACGTTGGGGTGGAAGAGTGGGGGACGAATTTGCCTGTATCGTTTGCGACGTTAGTTTAGCGGTCTCGGATATGGATGCGGGAAGAGGTGGCAAATGTATATGTATATATGATGCCAGTAGTCGGAAGGAGATACGTACATTTTGGCGGCTTGGTCGGATATTCTATTCCGGTAAAAAGAGACGGTCAGCACATTCGCTTGCTATACAAGGACCGAGCGAGCACAAGCACAGGCAGGCTTACCATCCGGAAAGACAACGTCCAGCTTGAACAGCCCTCCTTCCCATAGCGTATTCGCCTTCCCCGGGACACCGCATTCCCAGCGCTTCAGGTCCAGCACGCCCTGAGGTGTCCGATGAGGCTTTGCGTAGAAGCCGAACGGGTGGTCTCGTCGCCATTGCTTCCTGCGCGTGGGGTTGTTAGTCTCTGGGTTGTTGTCGGATGTGGAGTCGTGGATGTGTTTGCGCGGCGCGAGGGTGATCTGGGCTGGTGGACGTACCGTTCTTCTGTGAGGCGGTTTAAACACAGGGACATGGTGACTCGGTGATGTGAATAGGTCGCAGGAGGAGGTTTGCTTTGAATCGAAGAGGCGATTACAGCAAGTTCTTGGAGGAAATGACCAAGGAGGGTTCGTCGCGGAGAATATAAGAGAGGGAGAATGGAGACAGGTAAGAAAGGAGGAAGTGAGAGGAAAGAGATAAGAGTCACAGACTAAGAGGCTCAAAGTGAGTGAATGGCCACCAGATGAGGCTTTTCCAGTGTTGCTTAATGGATTTGATACCCCACAGCCAATCGGGTCTCCACTGATAAATCTCACAATAATGATCATGTGACCTCTGTAGTTCCCAGTGGCCAACATGCGGAAGGAGATTGAAGCATGAAGGTACCCATCTTTGTCCATTATGTTACTAGAATATCTCTTGTCTAGTGATTAGATGAATGATCAAGCTGTTCTGCTTTATACACTCAGAATAGTCAACACAAAGAACAGCAAGGTGAATCTATCTTAGCCGTGTCCAAGGACCAAGGCTTCCTTGCCTTAGGCTCTTAGTTGCGCGACGCTATATATTGAGTGCTTGATTGTCTCTTTGTTGGGATCAAAAAATGCCACTCTCCATGCCCTTTGCCCCATACCAGTACCATCTACTGCTTTCACATATCCTGCATACAAGCAGTCAGATTCGGCTATGACTGCTACACGAACGAGACATTGAATTTCGCAGTGACATGAGCCGACCACTGGTGCAACGTCGACAAATCCTTCAAGTGAAGCTTCGGAGCATCAAAACCTGGATCGCTTGAGATTCAAAGCACAGAGCTGGCAGATAACGAAGCCTGCCATGAAGTTGATGAAGCGCAAGGTGGCTATATTTAAAGACTCGAAAGTCCGCAACAACATGGATGGAGTCAAAATATTGGAGCGCGATCATCTGATCTGCATAGTTTCATACTGTTCATCTATCCAGACATTATCGCAGCAAATGTCATTATTTCAGAAGGCAGGCCCGAGTCACAGCATCGACTGACTAGCAATGAAACCCGTGGATGTACTGTACATGTTCCTTGCTCCTGTGCTTGCTACCGGTCGTCATATATCGCTTCTTCGAATTTCTGAGTGTCGTAGAAACGGGCCGTGATTGTGTTGCCGTTGAACACTCGGCCTTCCAGGGCATTCACCGCCTGACAGATTTTGTTAGTGTCCCAGACTGGATGGCTTCTGAATTCTGGAATACTCACGCGTAAAGCCGATAACTGGTTAGTAAACTTGACAAAGACCGGCACAGGGGGCCCGGATTCACGGGAAATGAAGACACGCTCCACACGACCGTACTGCTTTAGTGTTAGATGGTAGCAACCCAGTCATAAACAGAGAAGGGTACCTTTTCTGAGCATTCCTCGCCAATCTCTTGCATCAACCCCCCGTCTTGATCACCCTCGAGCTCAGCATCCACATCCATCCCATCAAGCATACCCTTGAGGATGATGACTTCGCTCATACGGCCGAACTTGCCCTCCTCGTCGTCCGCCTTCCTCTTACCACCAATGATTTTGCCCCTGCCAGCAGGAGTAACAAAACCACCGCCTTCCGAGTCTGGCCGCTTCTTTTGCTTCTCGACTTTGACCTGCAACGGTTTGACGATACCCGACCCCGTGGCACCCAGGCCAGATCCCTTGGTCCACCCATACTTCGCCAGCAATCTCTCGGCAAATCCCTTTTGTCCCGGTCGGAGTGAGCGCTGGCCATCTTCTTCGTCAGGTGCATCCTCCGCAGGCTCTTCCTTCGCAAAGACTTCTTCAAGCTCCGCTTCTGTCGCGGGAATATCTTCCGGAGGTGGAGGCAGGGTATATCGGACTGGCGCACGAGAGATTGTGGCAGAAGCTGGCTGCAGCGCGGCCAAAGGCCGAGGCGGAGGCGGAGGGGGGCGTGCAGCGCAGGCTGAGCTGCAGCCGCCGTTTGCACCCGTCTCAGGTAGGCATCTTCACCAGTGGGGTCATCCGGAAATGGAGCAGATGGCTCTTCCGGGGGAGGCGGAGGCGGAGGCGGTGGTGTCTGACCAGACATTAATGTATCCGATTGACCCGCTGTCATGCGCGCACGTCGAGCAAATGCATCATCTCCTGTGGCTTCATCAAGCGGTGCAGGAGGGATATCATTGAGATTAGGTGGAGGCGCGAAACTCTTCGGAGGCGCAAATTGTCCTGCAAAAGTTCGTGAGCATTTGTAACGTTCGAACCCCATGCAAAGGGAAGCATACTGTTCATTGGTCTCGATTCATCGTCGCTATACGAGTTCCTGCTCGGCGATCGTGCCATCCGGTGTGCGTAGAGGCGATCTTTCCACTCGCGCACCTCGGCAATCTGCTCGTCACTGTGCTTATACTCTTCGTAGATGTTCGGTCTTGAAGGGTCGTAGATGTCATCCCAATTCTGGACGAACGCCTGCACTTCCCGGTTCTTCTTGCGCTTTTTACGCCCGCCGCGCTGTCTCTTCTCGCCAACGTAGAATCCATTGACATCGTCTTCCTCGGTTGCTGCCCAGTCGGCAAGAGTGGTCTTCACGGGAGGAGCCGGCGCAGACGCAGCGGCAGGGGTCGTCTTGGGCAGCGCTGGTTTCGGTTTAGGCTTCTGAGCCGCTAGCTGTGGTCTTTTCGTAGGCTGAAATCGAAGAGAAGCTGAATACCCGAGAAGAAAGGAGGAAGGCCAAGTGAGCAATCAGATCGTCAAAATAGGATACATGAAGAGAACTTCTCGATCACAAAAGAAGGGTATGAGCTCTACCAGCACTTAGTTGCTGCTTCTTGGCAGCTGAATCATCTGTCTGTGAGTCGCCTTCCGAAGCCTGCTTGAAGACGACCGGGGCGCGAGAAATTGTTCCGGGAGAGGATGCATTGGATGATGGGTCGAGGAGATTGGCATAGAGAGACAGGCCTCCCCCTTTGGAAGGGGTGGAATCCGAGGCCATGGATAAAAAGGATAAGACGTAGGTGAAGAACAGTGATAGTTCAATACAGAAGAAGGAGAACAAGATCTATAATATTGTCCCTGCGAGGAGGATCGTTGAAGAGTTGGAGATGCGGAGTAATTCCATGCATTAGGATGTTTGCTCGACTTGCACTGTTTGCCATGTTTGGCTATATCCTTACATAAGCCACCCGGTTCCCCCGGCTCGAAAGGAGAAAAAGACAGGGAAGGAAGAGCGAGGAAATAATGGGGCCTACGACGATTGACGGTTGATCCGATCCTTCGCAACTAAGTCCGAGGACCCATTGGGCTTGACCATCATGGATACAATAATGGCACATCTACGTCAATCGCGTAAGATACGTGAGTCGTATCCGCAGAATCCCCATGTTCAATCTGTATAATCTGTCTTTAGATATCTACCTTTTCCATCACTGTAAATCACCCCTGACGGCCAAGACACACCATAAGCACGATGGGCACTCTAGCTCGGTCCCTCTCGCCCGACAGTCCGAGTGTTGCAGTGATAGTCCCTCATAAGCCGTCGGCCTTGTCGGTCTCCTACCAACAGCTTCATACCCATGTCGCCGACTTTCAAGCCAAGCTTGCTAGACTGGGGGTCGGCCATGGAGCTGCAGTATCACTGGCTCTCGTTAATTCCTTTGAATTCATAGTCTCTTTCTTGGCTACATCATGGCAGCGAGCTATCGCAGCTCCTCTCAACCCGGCATACAAGCAGGAGGAGTTTGAATTCTATATTGATGATCTCAGCTCGAGCCTGGTGTTGATTCCACGGGGCTCTTTTATCCAAGGTGGTCCTGCTGTGCAGGCTGGTAGAAAATACAATGCTGCCATCGCGGAGTGTTACTGGGATGGGAAGGAAGTTGTACTGGACGTCAAGGAACGGGGCAAACTGGCAGGACAAGGCAGCATTGGTATTCTCGAAGCACAGCCTGACGATATTGCCCTGGTTTTGCACACCAGCGGGACAACTGGTAGACCCAAAGCTGTATGGCTCTTCAACCCCTGAACGAAGACCATCATACTGATCGTAATATGGGAACAGGTCCCGTTAACACACAAGAACCTTGTCACAACCATGAGTTAGTGAACAACACAGAATGGCATGGTCGAAACTTCACTGACCGAACACAGAGAATATCCGGGACACATATCAGTTAACTCCTGAGGATCGGACGTACTTGGTGATGCCGCTATTCCACGTTCATGGGCTGCTGGCCGGCTTCCTCGCCCCACTCTTTTCCCGTGGCTCTGTTATAGTACCTCTCAAGTTCTCTGCCTCTGAGTTTTGGCAAGATTTCGTAACGCACCAGGCGAACTGGTATACTGCTGTTCCTACGGTCCATCAGATCCTCCTAAAGACCCCTCTGCCGAAACCCATTCCCGGGATCCGCTTCATCCGCTCATGCTCGTCGCCCCTTTCTCCCAAGACTTTTGAGGACCTGGAAAGAACTTTCAAGGCTCCCGTCCTGGAAGCGTACGCGATGACAGAGGCCGCCCACCAGATGACGAGTAACCCTCTCCCACCGGGAAAACGCCAGCCTGGCAGTGTCGGCATCGGACAAGGCGTAGAGGTCAAGATCCTCGACCAAGCTGGCGAGGAAGTGCCTCACGGCAGGGAGGGGGAGATTTGCGTCCGTGGTGAAAACGTGACCAAGGGGTACCTGAACAACCCGGCAGCCAACAAGTCGTCTTTCACCAAGGACGGTTTCTTCCGCACGGGCGACCAGGGGAAGAAGGACCGCGACGGCTACGTTATCATCACCGGTCGCACCAAGGAGCTCATCAACAAGGGCGGAGAGAAGATCAGCCCTATCGAGCTTGACAACATGCTGTTGTCTCATCCCCAGGTTGCCGAGGCAGTCTGTTTCGCTATCCCGGACGAGGGCCACTATGGAGAGGATATCGGAGCCGCAGTCGTGTTGAAGGGCGCTGCAACCGAGGCGGATCTCAAGGCATGGGTGGCCGGGAAGCTGGCCAAATTCAAGACCCCGAAGCAGGTATGCAAATGCCCTTGTGTCCAACATGTCTTCCTGAGCAACGAACTAACACCATGCAACAGGTCTGGATAGTGAAGCAGATTCCAAAGACTGCAACGGGGAAGATCCAGCGTCGCAAGGTAGCAGAGGCGATACTCCAGCCGAAGGCAAAGCTGTAGTCACCTGCATGTTGTATATGCGAACAAACTTTTTGAACATAAATTGTAGCACCATCGCTTGGATAGATTACCAGACTTATCAATGTGTTATCTCACACAAATGCATTACTTGTCCATAGTGTCCCAACCCCACCTTAGTACTCACAGTGCCGTCCGAACAGCAGATTTGAACTGAACCACCATTAGCCTCAACAAGCAAACAAGCAAGTCACAGGTACCTAATCACGTACCGGAATAATCTGCGCCTTCTCCAAATCCCACACCCCACTCCGAACATAGATATCCTTCTTCAGGAGCTCCCTCGCCTGCTCCTCGCTCTCGGCCATCAGCAACATCGCACTCCCCTTGAACGAGGGCGTGCCCTCGGTAGAATGAGACTCCAGCATAGCCCCTGCAAACTCACTCAGCCGTCTCCTCTACAATTAACCATCCAGGTTAAACGGCAGGAAAACGCTTGCAAGGTACTCACCTCCCATCGTAATCACCCCATCCGCAACCAGGGGCTTGACGCCCTCAAGGTGGGAGCTGCACAACACATCTCAGTACCTCGTCTCGCAAACCTAGCAGAAAAGACTCTAAGATTATGGTGAAAGAGTGACTTACGAGCGCACCTCCAGCCTCTTAGCCAGAGCATCTGGCTTGTCGGGCAGGATGCAGAGGAACTCGTGCTTGGTGGAAGCCATGATGGTGGACGAGAATGCTCGGGTGAATGATCGGTTGAGAAAAGCGGGGGAGGTGAGCCTGGTTAGATGGAACATGAGTGTTGATGAGGTGGGTGAGAAAGGTAGGAGGCTTAAATATCTACTGTTTTTGTTCAAGTAGGCTGTCCCTCGGTACTCTAATTCGTATCAAAGCCGAGATGGGTAGGTTCGGCGTGGGGCAGAGGGACCGTGTCACAATGTGGGGAATGTTCTACTGCTGCACCGTCTACAAAGACAATACGAAAAGATGATCATACGAGAAGACGAGGACGTCAGCAATGCTTGCTTCTTAACAACGCGATTTACTGCCAGCCGGTATGCAAATACATGGCCAATGCCATAATCTTTGTTGGTTGGACGAATCTGGTATTGTCGCAAAGTAGCAGCAGCTCTTGTGGCTCAGCAGACATGCTTAAAATGATGTCGAAGACTTGGTATGCTTGTTGGAAATTCACTTTGTGTAGGTACATATATATGTATGTACATGAAGGGTTGCGACCTCGATGCCCGATCCATCTCCCTGTCCATCTCAATTTGACATCAACGCCCTTGGACGCGTCCTGGCCCGGTAATATGTCTCTCTGCCAAATGCTCCCAGGCATCCATTCAATGGACCTCTGCATACACCACGGACACAAGTCTGAGAACGATGTCATTGTCTGATCCCAACATAGAAGACAACTGGGAACAGAACTCTCGAAGCAGGAACTGGTGAACGAGGATAAGGGGCGACTCCAGAGACGAGAAAGCCAGATTAAAAGCATCATGGTCGTCAAGTCCGTCTGCCTAATGGCAGAAGATCATGAACAAAACTCAGGCGGCTATGAGGCCAATCAATCAGTCGACCAGCCAACTCTATAGTCCTCCAAATACCGCTGAACAACATCCCCGAAGCGCCAAGGAAACAGCACATAAAGAAATCCCTAGAACACAACATGAAGAAGACTGAAAATTATTGATATCATTAGATATCCGTTTCAAAACGTCACTGAAGAAAACAAGAGCATAGAAAGGAATAGCTGGGAATGTAACCAGCAATGATAAATATGGTTGAGAACTCCACGCAATCATCCTGACGGCAACTTTGTCAGATATCGGTGTACAAACGGGTATTGAGCGTAAATTGGAGAGTTGGTCTTTCAGGTCTACTTTGGCAAACCTGAATGCATGGATGAGGCCATTGACTCATATCGTTGATTTTTAGTACGCTTTGCGATCCCCGAGGTTGCCGGGCTTCTCTTCGGTGTCGATGTGCCACACAATGTAGTTCGGCAAGCCATACACCTCGTATCCAGCCCGCTTGGCCATACGGGCAAACCCCTCCGTTTCAGCCTGGTTCTCGAACGCATAGGGCGGGAAGTTGATGCCTATAATATGGACGGTTAGAACTCAAATGTATGTGATGATAACAGAAGATGAACCAACCTGAACGGTGAACGTCGGCCTTGACCAGAATGTTGACACCACCGATGCCGTCAAGCTCAACCTCCTCGTCCTTGTTCTTCCTCCAGTCACCCATTCCAACGAGGTATTCCCGACCCGTATCATATTCTTTGTATCCCTCGGCCAGAATAGTATCCGGGTCCAAAGTCTGTCTCAATCTGCGGCCTTTGTCGGATTCGATCCACGAATTGTAGTCAACTAACGATTGTCAGCAAATAATGCTTCCAAAACATGAAAAAAGGGCATGCACATACAGCGACCCTCAATATCACGACCGTCCTTGTAACGATGGAACCAAATGTCTGGAACAGATCATACGTTAGCGCTAAAGCAACTGGAACAGAAGAGTTCGACATACTAGGAACAAGGATGTCCCTATTGTGGGAAATGAAATCTTCCAGAATAGTAGGAGGGCTGTCAACGATATCCACGTCTCTCCAGTAAACCCAAGAGTGATCAGGCTTCAGAGCGGAGTAGAGTAGGTAATTGCGAGCTCGGGCGATAGCCTTGCGCCGGGGGCCCTGAGCCGCAAAGGAGTGTCGATCTTCAACATTCATGCCTGTATCAGCTCCAAATTCCTTTTGAATGATTGTCGCGCTGCGGAAAGCAATTTTGTCTTCCACTTGATCCTGAATTCGGTTCAGCTCCCTGGCGAGAACGGCGAGCGTGTCATCCTGAGAGTCGCCGACAAGGAAGGCCAGATCAATGAGTTCATGGGGGTAAGTGATGTTGTAGAGAAGATCAAAGTATTTTTCCAGATGGGGCGCGGCATCTCTCAGAGGAGTGAGGATCAGCACCCGCTCCTTGTTCTCCTTAGCTGCACGGGTTGAATGAATGCCGTTGAGGTCGACATTGATAATACTGCTGTCGTTTACGACATAGGGCTCATGGTGGTTAAAAATCACAGGAGTCTGAGTATGTGCCATCCATGCGTTCATCTCGTTGAGGGTCATTTCCATTGGAGATTTGGGGGGGCCATAGCAGTAGAAACTGATCACACCAACCCCTTGTCAGAACCACTCCACACTTCTTTCATGACGACCGAATGGATACTCACTTTTGCATTCCAGATGCTGATTTGCTGATTCCACGCCATAATAAGATCAAAATGCCTGTGAGAGCTAAAGATATCAAGAATCGCGGCCGTGTAAGGAGAACAACGACGGCCCTCCAGGGAGGGAGTCGAGCTTTGGCCGACTTCCACGTTACGCCACCCTTAGGAAGAAGCATCTTTGCAGTATATGACCAGAGAATGCGCTGCGACTGGCGAGGTACCGTTCGATTACTCGGAAATCGTCACGGTCTGGAAAGGGCAAGGATTCCTGGAAGGTGTGTTGTGGACACTCAACGCCGAACGGAGATAACCAGCCGACCGCACGGTAGATGTAAATCCTCGAAGCTGTTTACAAGATACCTTGAATAATCACAATTCGAAGCAACTTTTCAACAAGTCGGCCTGGCTGGCACCGGAACGAGAGGAAAGGAGGCGATAACGCGATAAATCGCGAAGTAGGGAGGAATGGCTCGGTCGAGATGGGGGAAAAAGGTGGTCTGGCGGAAGGGTGCGGCCAGTAGGGCACCGCAAGAGAGGAGAACAAACGAGTGTGAATGGAGCCAAATGTAATTATGAAATGTATATCTAAGACGAAGGAAAAGAAGAAAAACCAAAGGTCCAGCGAAATCGAAGGTGGGTGACGATGCTGCCAGAGAATCAGGCCGTTTGGAAGAAGGAAAAGCGAGCCGTCGAAGAAGGACGGGGAGTTTTCCCTGAGTACAATCTGGGCACGGGGATGGCAGAGCCCAGAACGCAGAAGAAGTCCGCCCTTGGATTATCACTTTCTATACCTAGGTGGTCAAGTCAACCGTGGAACTTTTACCACCAACATTATCATCGCTGCAGAATGGTTCTAAAGTAGCATTAATTCGAAGTTCTAGAATTGATCGCTCCTATCCATATTTCGTCAATATTGTGGTGTGCTCAACCATCTTCATCAACAACCACCATCGTAGCGAAAAGGGGTTGTTCTTGGCAGTTGGTCGAGGCGCATCCCATTCGCCAACTGGAGAGGTTTGCTATCTCGAGATCTATCGAGATGCCTCAGCATTGCGAATTTGCATGCACTTCGGAGCGTACTCAATCGAAGATGATAAATTTCGGAATTTGTGGCTATTATTCATGAATCGTATATTTGCTGGTGTATATAGCTTATTATGTCCTTCAAGCATAGCGTAACGTTCAACAGTGGTAGAGATAAGAAACCGAAACCTGCTCCTGACGTTTCGCATATATAGGAGCATGAAGGAAACCAACATCAGGCCAGCACAGAAACAACATGTATTCCAAACACCGAGTTTCCACAGGAAAACAGAACCAAACAAAAGAAATACACAAAGGAATCGAATAGCCCACTCTGCAACCCACCCATGAGCTCCTTTTCCTTTCAAATATAGCGCCCGTTTTCCCCAATATTCGCCAACAAATGCACCATAAATATTCTATAATCCGCGAGATGAGTTGAGAGATAACCGAAGTCGAACGTTCGAAACTGCAGAATGAACAGCGCATCACTGTTCAGGGAGTTGGTGTTGATACAATGCAAACGCTCAACCGCGATAGACAATCGAAAAGCAAGCCGGTTTAGGACGACAACCATTCTATGACCCAGGGAAACTCATGACAGAAAGACGACCTTTGAAGTCACCGCATAATAAACTCATTTCTCTTCATCACGGTGATGGGATCAGAGATTCGCGCCGCGAATGTGCAGTCGAATAAGTTGTGTGATGAAATACCGGTGATGAAGGTCCTGTCATGGGAGGAGTGGCTGAGAGAAAGGTGTGTCCGAAGGACTGCCCGTGAGAGGAGCCTGGATGTAAGGGCTCGGGAGCGGCGCTCGGGGCGGCGATGCCATCACAGAGAACTCGCAAGCCAGGAAGCACATTTTGAGTCTTGGCTTCAGGGACCTGCGCCAGGGGACGAGGGCTCGTTTGCTCGCTCTTGGGGGACCGGAACATGTGCTCGTATGACTTGAGCTGAAACTCAAGTGCTTGGTTTCGCTCTTCCAGCAGCTGATTCTCCTGCTTCAAAACCTTGATCTGCTGCTGGGCTGTCTGGTGCTGCAGCTGCAGGTTCGCCACCAATTGCTGGAGTTGCATGCAGCGGATTTGGGGCTGCAGCTTCTCTGACAGCTGTCGAGGCATTTCATTCTCCTGGCGAATCAGGTGCACGATGATCAGCAGCATGAAGTCGATGAGGAAGATAGCTCCCTGAACGATATGTTCCTTGGACTCAGGCAAGCTCTTGGCCGGATTCCATCCTGCCCGTTCAAGAAAGAAGTCATGAATCCGGCTATCCAGCTCCCGGTGCAATTGGCTGAGATTCTTGCGTCGGTTCCCCTCGGCAATGCGATGCTTCTCTCGCTGATCATCAACATCGGCGGAGATCATGCTTCCCTTGCGCTTTCTTCCGCACAATTGCTGCAGTGGTGGCTTCCGACTGATGTTCTTAGGGGCAATCAAGCTCAACAAGTCGGCTGGAGAGAGTTCCTGAGACCAGTCAAAGGCCTTACGAGGCGTCAAGCTGTCGGGCCAGGAGCTGTCGGCGGAGTTGGCGGGAGAGGGAGGAGTCACAATGTGCTCTGAAACTGGCCATGGCGACTTGGTGGGGAAAGTGTCATGTGGGCTGGGTGGGCTGGGAGCGAAGATGTTGGAAGTGAAAGGATTAAAGGGTCCCCGAGGCAATGGCTCCGCTCGAGGAAGAGGGGTAATTTGCGGTCATCGCCCAGATCTACAGGCCCGGATGAGCTGTTCGAGATAGAGCGTATGCTGCTACGGGTGGAAGGGTATGTCAGTCGGACAACATTTTGGAACGATGACAGATATTGATCACTTACGGCAAAGCGCGGCGCTGGGAGATCTCGTCGCAAGTCGACGCCATGTCTTCGAACATCATGGTTCCGTCTGTGCTGTGTGTTTTGCAGGTGGCTGAGAGCGGAACGGTTATGTTTGTGTGTCTCACCGTGTAGACACAGTGATAGATGACCTTCAGACCGGTATTCTGTATGTGTATGTATGGCGGGTACGTGCGTAACCTTGCTTGGTGGGTATGTCTCAAAGACAACAGCAAGAGATGAGAACGTAGAAGGTAGAGAAACAATGCTTCTCGTATTGTACTGTTGACACAAGGTTGATGCAAAGCAGGTGAGACAATCGTCTAAGAATTGAGAGATATAGCTCAAGGGGGATGCTTGGGGCAAAGCGAGGGATTCCACGAGGCGATGGGAATGAGATGAAGAACTCAAAGCTGCTTGTTCTGTGGATAAGGTGCGAACCCGCTGCATGTTTTATATCTGGATGCAGGACGGCGAACGAGGGATGAAGGAGAGGACAAAGAGAAGGAGTCCGACTTAGTGGGTGGCGCTCAGACGTGCAGTGGATGAGCTGCAAGTAAAATGGAGCTCGAATCTCTGAATCTCTTCTCCAAAGTGCGAGTGTATCTATCTAGATTGAGGATGTATCAACTATCGGCTAGCCAGGCAGATCTGCGACCAACCCAACTCGGAAATGGGGAAGGGAATTAGGAATTAGGAATTAGTATCTAGAGCATGTGGGCAATAGAAAATGGGTCTGGTCTAGAAGATGACATACTTACTGGCAGGAATAATAAAAAATTATCATTGACATGACTCCCTGGTCAATCCCTTGGTACTGATGTGCAGAGGCCCACCAAGCCACAGCAGCATCTTTCCAGGTCCATCCCATGATGGCGGGGAAGTAAGAATGGCATTCCGCCAGAGTTTGGTTTCGACATCCACTAATCAATTACTGTAAATCGTCTATGCGGTACGGAGCTGTTCTAGATAGTATCGAGATAGTGTTCGGGAAGCGTGGTCCCGTTTGAATTGTCTCTGTCACAAAACCTAAGGGCACAGACGGCACTATGCGTAAGTACCTCACATATGTGGCTCACACTAACTGGCATATGAGGAGAAAAGCAGATCGACGAATCAACGTGCTGTTTGAATGACCACGCTGTTTGAGCTGGATAGGGATCGGACACCCTTGATTTGTCACCGCTGCTGTGGATTTTCGATCTACACGGGTAGAAGACGTCGATTCCCCTTGCATTACTGCCATAATACTTCAATATACTTTGATCCAGCCAATAATGGCCATGGCCTTATCCCCTCGGGCTCCTTCAGCTTCAAGCAAAACATCGAGTCCCCGAAGATAGTGTGAGTGTGTGCGTACGGGCGGGAGAAACAGAGTAAAGGTTTCCCGTAATGTGTGCATGAGCGAAATCATTGAAGATTCTGTGGCGGTTGCGGAACTGCCCATCCGACTTTGCTTTTGCTCTTTCTGGGGTAAGAGATGCAGCTCAATGGATGTGATCTTGCTATGGAGAAGAGGATTCCCCATTCCAGAAGCCCCCGGCCCACTGCATGGCGGAAGAAGCAATCGGAAACAGCCTCCGTCTGCGTTCATCCCGATCTGGAGTTTGGAGATGCTGTCGATGCATCCTCCCTGTCTACTTGCAGCAGTGGTGATACACTGGTACTGTGAGAATGACAAAAGTACTGATAAGCGATCAACTGGGCTATTAGTGACGGCACAGATAAATATCCGACGCACAGGCAGACGCAAAGCCTCCACATTGCGGGTCGTCATTGCCTCAGGCTCCACAAATCATGATCAGAATCAAATAGCACGAAGCAAGGACCCTGAGCTTGCTGGAAGAGCGAAGAGCTTGGGACAGCTGAACAAAAATACCTGAGACACTCTGCGAGGAGGCAATCGAGCAATCATTGATGGCGATAAAAGTCGTCCATGGCAATGCTACCGTCGTGCATACCGTATCTATAACTACTGAGCTCGACGAATACAGCAGAGTCGGTGTCGGCACGACCGAGCATGTTCATCAATAGAACTCTCAATTCTGTGCAGAATACGTCTATCTACCCAACCGAGCGTGGCCGAATAACTCACCCATGTAGCCCTAGATCCCTAAAGGGATCAAGCCTCGAAGCCTCGAGAGGGCCATTCGATGATCGCCACCAGCCCGAGGTAGGCCCATCCACCTGGGTCACGGGCAGAACCCAGCGACCAGGATCAGATGGCTGTCAGACTCATGCTCCGACGTTCTGGGCTTCTTCCGTCTTAGGGTAATGGTGACTAGCCCGGTAAAGCCACAAAACGTCAATAAGTAAGACAGTTGCCCAGTCAGGTTGGACAAAGTGATTTGGAATTCATTTCAATCAATGACATCTCCAACGAACACGCATACCGTTGATTCTGAGGACGCCACTCTGACTCGATAGCCGACAGAAATAGAATGCGCAGTACCGAGGGGTATTGCTTCTATGTTTATTCTCTACTGTACCATCTATCGGATTCAAAGCAGTAACCTGTGATTGTACTCCAATGGCACGAATATCAATGAAGGCCTACTGATAAAGGGTAGAATCTCAAATCTTGAGGCAACGGGGTAGCCACTAAATATTGCGTTCGCCATCAAATCCCTAGATAGCAAAGACCGAAAAGGAAATACGCCAAACGGGGCAACTTAATTAGTATTGAGTAGGAACCCTCAGTAGTGGACAAGACGGGAAGCAAATATCAATAATATCAGTCTCCATAGGATAGTTATGCATGTACATACATCCGTACCGTATATCTGCCTGTCTTACAATATCCATGTATGTAGTGCGTACAGTAAGCAGGAAAATGCTGCATACCATATCCATAACTCCCACTAGACATGCACGCCGAGCCAGTAAAAGTGGGTCCCTGGCAAAAAGGAAATAAGAGCTGTCATATTCATGGCCCCGGATCTATGAAGAATCAAACGGATCTTACGCCTCCTTTTTTTCCCTTTTCTTTTTAATTTTTCTCCTTCTCTCACCGGCTCGCAGCCTTGACTCTTAAGGTCTCAGGCTCTCAGCTAGCCTACCCCACGTTCAATCCCCATGGAAGGCGAATCCTGGAAGCCATCCGCCATGCGTAACGACTTGTGATTGACAATAAGATTCATCATCAATTCTCCTTTTGCTCTGAGCCTCTGATTGATCCTCGCTCACGTTTCATCAGAAGTTGGGGAATTGCCATTCTGGGGCATGGCTCGCCTCCACTGATGATTTTGGGTACTATGCGCCATGCAATATGCAGTACATATCCCCTGCCTTCGAAGTTCGAATAGGGTTCTCTCTGCTTCTACTAACATACCTCTTGGGGAAGAACCAGTTGACCCGGGTCTGATTCATCAGCAGTCCCAGCGAGCAGTAACAGAGAGTCTGACATAAGTACCAAACCCCTGGTTGGATTGATTGCCATGGGGACGTGGTTGATCCAGGTCCTAAACACGAGAGAACTAGATACTGATTAGGAATTAGCTGCTAAGTTGTTCGCATAATCCTGGTGGCCTTAAACAAACTCCAATCTACAATCAAGGGATCCTTGTGTCTTTCGTGGGGGTAGCTTTCCGTTCGCTCGAATGAGTGATTGATAGTTCAACAGATTGAATTTCATGCGGAGCAATTTTCCGGCATGAACCATTCACAGATCTCAACTTGATTAATTTCAGAAGTACAGTGCGTAGAGTTCGACGTGTACCTACATGAGTCTCTTTGAAGGTTATGGGACTATGGGTATGCCTGCAAAGTTTAGGTTCCCCGATGATAACCTCACGGATGTTCTTTAGGAGCCCCTACTGAAATTGTCCGGGTGGGCTTGAAGTTGATCAAGGTGGGCCTGACTTATTTACGAAATTGGTAGGTCACGATGTTTGGGCTTCGGATGGTCTTGTTTGCATGAAGTACTCGACCATTATCCGACAGAAGTCCTTAGGATACGCTACTCAGAAACTTCACTGAAATATTTCGTCAGATAGAATGATCGTCAAGGTCAAAGAGCCAGCAAAAAGGGAGCTTTCCTCAGTCTTATTGGCAATTTGGCATAGACTAGAAAGGTATTGTGATTTGCGAGGATTCGCAGATTGACCACCACCATACGAAGTAGTAGTTTTAGTGGTGTTTAGCGAGTTTTTAGAAGGAGACTAAGGGCCGTCGTGCGAGGTCTAAGTGTCTATCGGATCTCATCCAGGCCAACGGGCTCACACCCAAACTCCATTAATTCAAACGTTAAACCGTCCAGTCTGGAATTAGCTTCCTCCTTCCAAGGTGGTAGTCAAATAGTCCATACTATCTCCCCCGTCAATTACGGGCTTATCGATTTTGCTTTTTGTTCTCTACAGCCATTGATGTCGAAAGACTCTTTCTATTTACCATCTGATAGAGACGTAGTCAGGCCAGTTCAGATGCTCGATCCGTGACTGGCTCACTGTACACTACTATATGGTACCATATATTCGTGTAACTACATCAGGTTAAACGTAAACGTCCAAGGTAAGCACTACCAGAAAGGCGAATTGATCGAAACTAAAATGAAACCATCTTTGACAGGTCATAAAAAGTAATTGGGGTTTGTTTCAAACCCAACCATCATTATGTTAGCATTCAATCAACAGTCAACAATCTCCGGTCTGAATCAGTGCACTGTCCATGTTTACCTGTCGACCCGGACTAGGCGAGCTCCGACAAATGCTGCATTATCCAGAGTGGTATTTGCCTGAGGCCGCAAGTCCAACACCACGATTTAGACAGGTAGTGCGACAGACAGAGGCTAAACCCGTTTGCGCGTCTCTTGGCACTATTGTTCATCCGGAAGTCGTTGGCGCTGTGGCTAAAACTGTAAAACCGGACACAGACGTCTCCCCGTTTTCCTCACCCATCACAATGATCCAATAGATATTCAGACCAGCGCCCAGAGTCTCCCTGTCAGGGTGTGGAGAGACAGGGATGCCCCTGCATGACAAATGCAAGCCTCTTCATGTATCGATTTATTCTGGGAGCACGACCATAATCAGCAAATGTTTACTGTCCTGGAGGCTGGAACCCGGACGTACGATCAGCTCGTGCCATGTTTCAGTTTGCTCTACTCAAGCAACGCCTTTTTTCTTTTCTTGAATATTTCTGATGCTTCAAGCTAAGTGGGACGAAGATGGATAGCGCAAGAGATGGTTATGCCTCTCGCCTACTATGGAATATTCAACCTGTACCAAAGCAGGTGGTTACAAATTGCCAGTTGCCACTCGAGCAAGGCATGAATAGATATTCCATCCTCTACGCGACCAACCCTATACAGTCTTATGCATAATTCCTCGAGACTCGAACCCTCGATACTTGGATCCCGTCTGAAGTCTAGGCCTGACGACAGACGCCATTCGAATACATTGCAGATATTGAATGTGTCCTGTATCAAGACTTAATGCATCAGTTGCACCAATTACTGCAGCTCCGATCGGATGCTACTCGACATGCAATTGAGCTTCTGCCCGTGCAGTCGCAGTCTGAACACGAAACCTTACTATGGTCCTTAGCCTGAGCTATGCCCATGTCCAAATCCCCACATACCCTTCCTACCGGGAAGGTGGAGGTCCATGGGTCCATGGTAGGTGGCTAATTGTATTGATCACTGGCAATCGCCTCATGCAAGGTATCGTGGACCTTGATATCTATCGTAAGTTCATTTTCAGGTGCAATAAGCAGTCCACAATTTACATATTGATTCCAAATTGTGCTTCCGTGTTTATTAATCATGTTCCGCGATGAAGGACTTGTGTTAGCTATTTTTATATCTTGCAACAATCCCCAGCTTTGTGCACCGATAATCATATTATTCTGGTTCGGACTGTCCTGGCACTGTGGATCATTCATCTAGGCGCGCATTGGACTATGGAAGTAGTGTACCTGGGAGACCAGGTAGGCATGAAGCTGGTCAAGGTTCAGCAGCCGTATTGGTGAGCTGATGATCATCACCCCTTCAGCTCGACACGGACGCCGGGTCAGTCCATCCGCTGGGGCGAACGTACCAATTTAGAGTATCTAGGGCTACAATAGATCGTCAGGGTGATCCATCGAGAGACGGATCATAACCCGTACGTGATGCAACCATCTCAATCAGCATTTGGAGTCCAGCGGAGAATAGTAGATAGAACCTTCGAGTCTGCTTGCCTCTTCAGAAGAGGCTGCTACCTCAGGCCTCGAAACTCCAGTCTAGGCCGGACAGTTCTACAGGTATCAAACCACCCACAACTCGCTGCCGAACGAGTGGCAAACGACCTTGAGCCCGAGCACGCATTACGATGTGTGGAATCTCCCATCAGATCGCGCATGGTCATGCTGGCACAGCTTCATGAGTCTAGAACAGTTACTGCAAGGCAGAAGAACATCGAACCTCTCGTGTGACTATGACCCCGTCCGCGTATGGCATGCATATGCGATCCCAGCAGGCACGCTGGTCGCTGCGTGCTAGTGCTAAGAACTATTCATCCCACTCAGATTCAACTTTTGGACACGTCAAGCTCGAGGCATCTCCGCGAGTGTTCATCGACCGCGAAGTTGGAACAGGCCAGCATCAGTCTATGACGTCCTAATTTGACACCTGCCGTCATTCAGAATACTCACAAGCAGGAAACCTCATTAATCGTGCTCAATCGTGACCGACTCTCTCCATCAGATGACGCTGTACCTTGACTGTCGCAGGATTCCCATCGCTTCAGCTCCAGCTCCAGCCTTCAACATCACGTTCTCGGATTTCCTTGGTTTCTAGCGCAATGGCCTGCAGATCCTTCGTTCGCAAGCCTTTCTGCTCTGCTGCCAAAGAGCACAACTGGACGCGGCATTGTGCCTCCGACGCCCTGTTTGTCACTCCCACCGTGCAACTCGTGGACAGATCAATCGCCGCTTTGAGGACTATCAAAAACAGGTTTACGCACGAGCTTCTCTGCGTCATTTAGAAAGGGACCTGGGATTTTCTTTTCCTTGCGCTTTTTGCTTGACCTACGTCAGTTTGAGATCCCTGAGTCTCGGATCGCTGCCACGCTTTGGATGGGTTGGAGGGGAGGATTGGCGAGTCATACGGTGAAAGAACTGTTCAGTCTGGCGTGTCCCTGAGGACTAGCACGGGAGGTATCTTCCTCGCTCGTCTGTGCTGCGCGCCAGGCCAAGGCTTGATGGCATTGCTATAGGAGCACCTGTTTCAGTTCTGTGCACTGTCATGTGGCTCTAGGGAACGGCTCGCTGGGATACATTCAATTATTTCTATAAATACAGATACTCTTACTAGAGCATAGGCAAGTGTACAGGGCCGGTAGGGGTTCAATAAAGATTTTAATCGCTGTCATCTATTAGTCCCGCGAAGGGCCGAATAAGGCATACTAAGCCCATTCTGATCGCACCGAATCCTTTGATTGTCCTCCATGAATACAACACTCTCACGTGGATGTGTCTTTAGAACGCTTCTCCCAGCCGATGATGCTTGGCTTCATGGGCCCTGAGAAGAGAGACGAATAGTCGGTTTCAGGCACTCCTTTCTTTCCATCCACGTTGAAAAGTCGTACGTGGCGCACAATAGTCGCCAGAATCACACCAATGTTGAGATATGCGAATTTCTCGCCGATACAGCGGTGTCGACCGGCACCAAACGGAAGATAGGGACTCGAGGTGCCCTTGGAGACGGCGCCGTAACCGTAGTCAACAACCTCGTCGTTCTCCTGCTCCTTGGCAGCCTGGTTCTCCCAGCGATGGGGATCCCAGCATCCGGCATTGGGAAAGTGTTCGTCGCTGAGGGCTGTCACTCCAGGTGAAGCAAGGAGCACGCGACCGGGAGGAATCACGTAAGGGCTTCCGGGAACGGGCAAGGGGCTTTTCACCTTGCGCATGAGCGAGTGAATAGATGAATGAAGTCGTAAGGTTTCACGAACAACATGTTGATGGAAGGGAAGTTTGTCAAGATCCCTGTACTGGAGCGGAGGAAGACTGCCGTCTGGCCCAATGGGGCCAAGATTGGCCAGCTGCTCCTGATACAGCTCTTCGAGGACCCGTGGTTGTGAGGCCAGTCGCAGCATAATCCAGGCGCTGATGGACGAAGACGAATGCTGACCAGCCATCAACAGGGTTATCATCATGTGGGCAATCTCTTTATCAGGCACCTGCTGTCCGTTTTTGTATGTGCTGTTCATCAGGTTCCAAATCATGTCTGACTTCTGAGAGTCCTTGTCGCCGTCAAGACGACGCTGATTGATGATGTCAACATAGATTGACCTCATGCGCGCATGAGCAGCATCTCGCTTCTTGTTATGCGGCAATGGGGCCCATGGTAGCATGAAATTGATGGGAGTAAAGCCCTTGTCCAGATCATGATAGAGGTCAGCGAACTCAGCCGTGAGTTTGGAACGAACCTCCTCGCCTTGGAGGGCTCGAGCAGCAGTAAAAATGGTAATCTCAGCCATTGCAGCAGAGATATCCACCTGGCCGGACGGGCCTTGAAAGTTCGGCGACTTGCGCAGATAGTCCAAAACCTCCTTCTCGATAAGTGGCACATGAGCCTCTAACGCCGACTGAGTCAAGCCATACTTGATGAACTTCTTCTGCTCCATCAGTTTGGAGTTGGGACAATCATACACCACATCAGATCCGAAAACGGGAGTTGTCAATGGACTATAGACCTCCTCCGCATTGACATCCTTGAGCTTGCCGTTGAGAATAAACTCGTTTCCCTGAACGCCCAGGTAGACGGTGGTTTTTTGGCCCAATAGTATAAAAGTAAAGATATCGCCATACTGCCGGAGAAAGCAATACTCAGCAATGCACCCCGGGATAAATGTCAAACGCTAGCTTTGAAACTCACCTTTTCTCTGCAGGCAAAAAAGAATTTGTAGGGATCAATCCCGTAACTGATGGTATTGCCCAGAAATGGGACCCAATGAAAGACCATTGGCGGTTCTGTCCGATTCCAAAGCCGGAAGAATAATTGATAAACAACATTGAGCAAGATCACCGTCAGCATGGCAACGGCCATGCAGGCCGTGAGCAATAGCATCGACACCATTTCGAGGACACACAGGGAGAGTCAGGCCAAGGATTAGAGTGTTGTAGCGATGACGAGAACGAGGAAGAGTAGGAGCAACAGGGAGAAGAAGGATAGTTTTCATAGAATGAATCCTTAAGGTCTAGGACAAGGACGCATGAGGAACTAGCTAGTGAATAACTTATTTTATACCTAACCTATCTACCTATATAGGTTCATAAGTATATCTACCTACCGTAGTATGAGCTAAGGGGGTATGGTATGCTGGACTTACACATTAGTAATTAGGCAACTCTCATTCGGCTCAGCACACATCCGAACCGCGTGATTCTAGACGAGACACCCTGCGGTAATGCTGCATTTGTTCACATATGGATGAGGTTTTCCTGGATTAGAAACAGTGTAGATTATTCAGAGTGTTTCTTCTCTTCTCCCTTGCTAGGCACAGGCTTCAGAATGCTGCCGCTGAGCAAGATATGAAAGTCATGTTATCTCTAGCTCGCTGGGCAATTGAATACAGCCCGGACGAGTCCATCATTCTGTTAAGTATTTGAAGACAGTGCATGAGCATAGATGGGTAAGCCAGTCCTGCATTTGACTGATCTGGGGAAATGCAAAGCTTCTGTCGCGGACTGTCTCAACGGCTCTCTGGCAGAATACAAGGCTCTGCGTCCACCGAATCTAGAGACCGGGGCACATGCTCGCAACTCCAGGACGGGTTTGTTCAATCTTGTACCGCAGCAAATAGGACATCTCATAGTGGCCTCATAAGTCATCCAGTGGTGCACTGCTTTCGACACTGTGCGCTATGTTTCCTTCTGGTGAAAAAGCATCTATTCCCGCTATAGCCGCCTCGAAAATTCCTCCCAGCATGGCTTGCAAAGTCGCTAAACACATTCTCTGCATTCAGAGGTATTCACCCTGTGACAATGATAACCCGTGAGATATCAAGCTGATTTCATTCCCACTAGGCAATTGCACAGAGCCGGTCAGAGCCCGGCCCCCGCCATGTCCGAGCATTGAAGAAGTGGCTGTCACACAGATCGACGTACACTTTTTTTTTTGTTAAGAGGCTCGCTTCGGCTGCGGAAACACCAGGTGATCAATACTGCTTTGTACACCCTTTGCGCAGTCAATTCCACTCTTGGTCGTAAGAGAAAGTCACCTCTGTTGTGGCGGGCAATCCGGCGAGCGGAGTCAAGCAAAGTCTTGTCCTTATCTTCAGAATTGCCCAGAGATCCTTGGCAAATCAGTCCCACCCATTCTATCGCGTAATTTCATCTGTTCTGTTGGTGAGCGTCCGCAGAAGATGGATGTGGAAAGCAACTACGGTGATGGGATATATATCATGGTAGTAGTTAGAAGAAAGACGAGAGCATGAAGACATTGGCCAATGAACATCCATGTAAACGACAGCTTGACAGTTTGCGACTCCACAGCAGTGGTAAGAGATTTCCTCAGCAGTCACACTGTCACAGAAGTCCGAACTGTGGTTAGTGTACCGGCAGTGGCAGTCCCAGGGCAGTTATCTTATCGGTAGTATGAGTCAAAAGATTTGTGGCCGAAATCGCCCCTCGCTCATTGTTCCGCCCCGCCGGTCTGGCTCCAGGTTTCCTTTAAAATTTCCCTTTCCCTCCCCCACGAATATCTGGCTAGCTTGGTCAATTACTCTTCTCTTCTTCTTGAGCATCCTGCTGTTTAATTCCCTGGAGTGATTTCTCAATTGCTCGTGCCCAGCATGTGTGGAATCTTCGCTTGCCACCAGTATGTCCAATATTATAGCTTCGCCCCTTGTGCATGTGCCCCGCGCATTTTAGTGGGCGGCCGCACATCGGACGGGGGCCTTCTCCAGGTCTGATCGAGTCCGCGCTGACCATTGATTGTGTGACAGTCACCCCGATGTGCAGACATTCAAGCCCACAGCTTTGCGCATGGCCAAAGCGTAAGTTTCTTGCATCAATTCATATCTCATCCTACGGATTCGGGACTGACCGTTGCCAGTGTGCGCCATCGTGGTCCCGATTGGAGTGAGTCACCTCGCTTTCGGGAGACTCCAAAAATGTCCGGCTAACCGCAACCACGATAACAGGTGGTAACTGGTCTTCTGAGGGCACTAGTTCGTACATCTGACAATTCATATCAAAGCTCGCTGAAATGCTAATTGAACCCTAGTCCTCGCTCACGAGCGCTTGTGTATCGTCGGTGTCGGTTCGTACTCATGCCAAGCTTCCCGCTTTCGAATTTGCATGTTAAACTCACAGCAGACTCCGGAGCGCAACCCCTCGTTAACGATGATGGCACCATTGCCCTGGCCGTCAACGGCGAAATCTACAACCACCGGATCTTGAGAAAGGGGCTGAAGAAGCAGTACAACTTCAAGACACATTCAGATTGTGAAGTGGTCATTCCTTTGGTATGCCCCGAGACATCTCACACAATTGCCGGTTTCCAGAGGCTAATCAGCTTCAGTATATGGAACATGGCCTTGACGCTCCTAAGCATCTTGATGGCATGTTTTCTTGGGTTCTTTATGACAAGAAGGAAGACCGGGTGGTCGCCGCTCGTGACCCCATCGGTATTACCAGCTTCTATATCGGATGGTCCTCGGAGACCCCTGGAGCTGTTTACTTCGCCTCCGAGCTGAAGTCTTTGCACCCTGTATGCGACAAGATTGAGGCTTTCCCCCCTGGCCATGTGTACGACTCCAAGACCGAATCGATGACCCGCTACTTCCAGCCCAAGTGGTGGGATCCCACCAACGTCCCCACAGCTCCTGTTGACTACAAGGTTATCCGTGCATCTCTGGAGAAGTCCGTGCGCAAGCGTTTGATGGCGGAGGTGCCTTATGGTGTTTTGCTGTCTGGCGGTCTCGATTCCAGCTTAGTGGCCTCCATCGCCCAGCGGGAGACCCTGCGTATGCAAGAAGCGGCCAAGAACGCTCTTGTAGACCAGACTGGCGCGTCTGATCTGGTCGGCATTGACGATACTAACGAGCTGTCGACCGTCACTACTTTCCAGCAATTGCACTCCTTCTCTATTGGTCTTCCTGGCGCGCCCGACACTGAAGCCGCCCTTGAGGTGGCCAGATTCCTGGGCACCAAGCACCATGCCTTCACCTTCACCGTTGAGGAAGGTCTCGACGCTCTCTCCGATGTCATCTACCACCTTGAAACCTACGATGTGACGACTATCCGCGCTTCTACTCCCATGTACCTGCTCAGCCGTAAGATCAAGGCTATGGGCGTCAAGATGGTCCTCAGTGGAGAGGGCAGCGACGAGATCTTCGGTGGTTATTTGTATTTCCATGCCGCTCCCAACAAGGAGGAGTTCCACAAGGAGACTGTCAGACGTGTCAAGAACCTGCACTTGGCGGATTGTCTCAGAGCCAACAAGTCCACCTCTGCTTGGGGACTCGAGGCTCGTGTGCCTTTCCTGGACAAGGAGTTCCTCGAGGCGGCCATGGGTGTCGACCCTCAGGAGAAGATGATCACGAAAGAGCGCATTGAGAAGTACATCTTGCGGAAAGCCTTCGACACCTCGGACGAGCCTGACACCAAGCCTTACCTCCCGGAGAAGATCCTCTGGCGTCAGAAGGAGCAATTCAGCGACGGTGTCGGCTACAGCTGGATTGACGGCCTGAAGGATCAGGCCGAAAAGCAGATTACGGATGAGATGATGAAGAACCCCAGGCCGGAATGGGGTAACGATATCCCTGACACCAAGGAAGCGTAAGTTCCACCTATCTCAGAAGCCTGGGTTATGACATATGTCTAACAACAATTTTCAGGTACTGGTATCGCATGATGTTTGACGAGCACTTCCCCCCAACTTGCGCATCCACCGTCGAGCGTTGGACACCGACATGGTCGAAACAGACCGACCCTAGTGGAAGGTAAGAGCTCCAACTCATATTTGGCCAACGCTTCTCCGATGCTGATACACTAATTTCCAGAGCTATCGCGATCCACGCTGCCAAGTATGAGCACGTTGAGTAAATGGTTCTTTCAGTTTTGGTTCACGCAAGTCGGTCATCACAAAATTTTCTGGGCATAGACATGTATAGATTATTAAACGGAAGTACTCCTAGGATTGCAAAAGCAGAGTTTTGCAGCATATGTAAAGCTATCATCACTTTCTTTGAGCTTCTGGGAAGTCCTTTCTGTTTCCCTGACCGACAAAGAGTCAAATCACTAGTCTTACGGCGTTGCGATATATGTCGATTTATGTCCCTTTATGAAATCTTATCTTCAATTCTTGGTTTTCTTTCAAGCCCGGAGTTTGTAAGCGCGGCCAGGGAGCCCTGATCCGTTCAATGCGTCAAGCAAGGGATGCACACTTTTTATTCATGAAGTACTTGGACTTCAACTGCTGGATCCTCTGCGTTACTGCGTTGAGGCTAAACAATCACGAGGTCAGAGGAACTACCCCTGATATAAGTGCAAGTCAGGTACCGAAGGAGGAATCGAAACCTAAGGCATCAAAACAACGTCACGCGATTTAGCGGCTTTTACCGGCAACCCGAGCAACAACCAATAGGCGCAAGATCCTTTTCCCGTGGCTTCCCCATTGTTTGGCAACTCAACCTTCTGCCGACCTCTTCGTTCTTCCCCATCGCTTTCCACTTCTTCTCCCCTCCATCATCGCCGAACCTCCTGAACCAACAGCTACCTTTTCTTACCATTCTAATACCATTCTATCATCTCTCATTCACAATGTCTGCTCCTGCTGCTTTCTCTGACATTGCCAAGGCGGCTAACGATGTATGCCTTCTTTTTGGTTCCTTGTTTTGAAGAAAGAAAAATAGCGCAAACGACTTGTCGGGTTGGATCCTTCCATGCTAATACATTGTGTTATAGCTCCTGAACAAGGACTTCTACCACACCAGCGCTGGTAAGTCTCACTAACACCTTTGTACATGTTGCGCGATTGAGCTGACCACCTGCCTTCAGCCAGCCTCGAGGTTAAGTCCAAGGCTCCCAATGGCGTCACCTTCAACGTCAAGGGCAAGTCTGCCCACGAGGGTCCCATTGCTGGCTCCGTAAGTCTCGCGCCTTGCGCCACCCTGGGCTTTGCAGAGCTCAATTGGCCAAATCGGTACTGATTCGCAACTCGTTATCTGTATAGCTTGAGGCCAAATACGTCGACCTGCCTACTGGTAAACGCCCCATAACGCGCAAACCACCTGATCCCAGCACCAAGAGAACCGGCGAAGCCAGGTCCATGTTCTCCTTTACATGCGGCCAGGTCTCGTCAGCATACTTCAGATTCCTATTCATGACCAGGATAGTCGCTCATTCCGTGATGCTAATACTCTGTCCCCACCCAGGTCTCACCCTCACCCAGGCTTGGACCACCGCCAACGCCCTCGACACCAAGCTCGAGCTCGACAACAACATTGCCAAGGGTCTGAAGGCCGAGATCCTCACTCAGTACCTGCCCTCCAAGCAGTCCAAGGGTGCCAAGCTCAACCTCTACTTCAAGCAGCCCAACCTGCACGCTCGTGCCTTCTTCGACCTCCTCAACGGCCCCTCCGCCAACTTCGACGCTGTCCTTGGCCACGAGGGTTTCCTTGTTGGTGCTGAGGGTGGCTACGACGTCCAGAAGGCTGCCATCACCAAGTACTCTGCTGCCGTCGGCTACAGCGTTCCTCAGTACACCGCTGCCATCACTGCTGGCAACAACCTGACTGTCTTCTCCGCCAGCTACTACCACCGCGTCAACCAGCAGGTTGAGGCCGGTGCCAAGGCTACCTGGGACTCCAAGGCCGGCAACTCTGTTGGTCTTGAGGTTGCCAGCAAGTACAGACTCGACCCCTCTTCCTTCGCCAAGGTCTGTAGAAGCGTCTTCTGTTGTGAAATCAAATTACGCTAATCGGTGTTCCTTTAATACAGGCTAAGATCAACGACCGTGGTATTGCGGCCTTGGCCTACAACGTCTTGCTCCGCCCTGGCGTCACCCTCGGTCTCGGTGCTTCCTTCGACACCCAAAACCTGAACCAGGCCGCCCACAAGGTCGGTGCCAGCTTCACCTTCGAGGCTTAGATGGTTTCTCAAACCAAACATTTTTCGCACCTCGAGTATCCTCCACACCTAGATTCCAATGCCCCGAGATCTTTTTCTCAGTACGAATTGAAAATACTTTGCAAGAAGCTGCCAACAGCAGTTATGTGTTGATCTGATAGTAATTTAGAGTTTTCTGAGTTGGCTGTTTTCTTGGTCCCCACGTGGCTCCGCAGTTACTACGTGACGTCGCGGTCGGAGATCGTTGAAGTAAGCGCTAGAAAACATTGTTGGAGTGGATGTGGATCTCTGTTGAGGTGGGCTTAGTCTATTTCATGTATCGTATACCACGAAGATCACTGTATATCAGGTCCGAATTTCATTTGTTTGACGTCCAAAGCTTGTGGAGCTCATTCCCTTGCGTAGATCTATGCTATACTGTACAAAAAGATATCGCGCGCTGTCTCGAGGCCATTATCAAGGCGCCTCGAAAGTATATATATGATGAGTAAAAAACTCTCACAATGCACACAGTCCCATAACAAGTGCGACTTCGATGTCGCACTATCCATCGTTGGAAGACTCTAGCCCTCCTTCCGCCGGCTTGACGAGCCGGATTTGGAGGTGGTCGGCCAGCGAAGCCAGCCAGTCATGGCCCCGCACCCAGTAGAATTCCACATACGATCACGAAGCGCAGCGCAAAATCACCTGCACGGCCGATGTACTGTTCGTTCAAGGCACTCATCTCTCTCGATCGCCGCTCCTGCCGCCGGGCATCCTCCGCGGACTGAGTTCGGTAATGCCCGCGGGCATTGAAGTGGTAGATAGGATTCCGGTCAATGAAAGAGGTCGGGTCCTCATCCCCTGCGCTGCCCGCAGATGACGAGGATGCTGAAGCACCGCCTGGAGGCGGCCGTCTGCTACTCCCGTACCCGCCGTGCGCGTAGAATGACGGAGGCGGACCACGGAAGGGCCCGCGCCGTTTGCTTAGGCCGCTGGCCGGTCTGGACCCCGCGTAGGAGGCGCCCTTGGTATGGAGATTTGCGCCGTAGCTGCTGTGGCTACCCATCGGGTGTTGGCCTGGGTTTGCGGTGCTGTGTGTCGAGGAGCCATGTTGGGCGTAGATGCCGTGTTCACGATCGTAGGCGGAGCGTTTGGCGCTGTTGCTTAGGACGTGGTAGGCTGAGGAGATACGCGCGAAGCGGGAGGCGGCTTTCGGGTCACCGGGATTGCGGTCTGGGTGATGATGGAGGGAGAGGGAGTAGAATTTTCTGATAATGCGGGCTACGTTAGCGGCGCCGAGACTAGAAAAGATAGTAGATAGGTGAAGGGGGAGGGACGGAGCGTTGGACGATGCTAACTATCGTACTTTTTAATCTCTGCTGCTGACGCCGTCACCGGCACCTCGAGAATCTCGTATAATGTTGGTTCGCGACTGGTTGCATATAGGGCTGACTTCGTTGAAAATGAACCCGTGAACGCTCGAGTCCGGTGGATTGATGGCTGCCAGGAAGCATTGAGAATGAATGGAGTAAAGGTCCTCACACGAGGAGATGGCATCACTTCTCATCCGTCGAGTTCACATCTAGTTCTATATAAAGAAGGATAGTTGATGAGAGGAAATCGTCTGGGATGGAGAGAGGGTCGTTAGATGTTGAACGGGGAATTCCCGCCGTCGTAGGTGCGTCATCGGCAATCGGACATTGCCAGGATGTACGGAGTAGATCTGATAAAGATGCCAGGCCATCTTTCTACTTGATATACGGCAGAACTCAAACCCCGCTGGATTTACTAGCACTGGGCACGTCATCCAGACAATAATTGTACACAATTTCAGATTCATTCAGATTGGTCTAGTATCCAATTTCACATTATGTTTCCGTCGACTACTGCGCAGATCACATATTCCCGTACTCTGGGGAATTGTTATCAGGATCTGCGCGGCATCCTCAACTGTTTATTGACGACTTTCCACAATATATATCTACCCCACAAAATCAGGAGAAACTAGACCAAGTCACAATCCACTGCAATAACTCACATCGACCAATCTCTTAAAATTATAGCATTACCTCTGGTACAATCATGATTCTTTGCCCCTGGTATATCGTCATCAGGCTTATCACCCGGTCGTCTATACCGCACTCGGTCTTGGCACAGAACTTTCCCCATCAAAGTATTTCGCCTCTTCTTCCGCATCTTTAATTCTCCCCACCAGCTACACAGTTTTTGTTTCCAGCCGACGGTCTTTCCCTTATTCTATAACAGGTTATCACTATGGCGGCTCAGGTTAGCGAGAAGCTGCAGGACCTCCACCGTGAGTAATCCCGCCTCGAATCCGATGCACTGTCTACACCTCTGTCAAGTCGGCTTATACTAATGAAACATGATTCTTCGCTACAGTGAACGGCCAGAATGGTGACGCCAAAGCGGATACGACTACCGTCGGTCAGACAGAAGCTGGTGAAGCAGAAGATGACTCGGACGACGAGAAGGAAGATGGAAATGCTGCTCCGGAGGCCGGTGCAGGCGGAGGTGCGTACCTACACTTCCGGGTTCATGTTTAACATGCCCACCGGTCAGGCCGTCGGAATTCATACTTACAATCCCCGGATTGCAGCTGCGAAAAAGAAGAAGCGCAAGTCCAAGAAGAAGAAGAAGGGAGGCGCCAAGGTTCAAAGTTCCCCTCCGCGTGTCCCAGTATCGAATCTTTTCCCCAACAACCAATATCCCGAGGGCGAAATTGTCGAATACAAGAACGATAATTCTTACCGCACGACCAACGAGGAGAAGCGTTATCTCGATCGCATGAACAACGACTTTCTGCAGGAGTACCGGCAAGCTGCGGAGGTGCACCGTCAGGTTCGCCAGTATGCGCAAAAGACCATCAAGCCCGGCCAGACCTTGACTGAAATTGCCGAGGGTATTGAGGATGCCGTGCGTGCTTTGACTGGTCACCAGGGACTTGAGGAAGGTGATAACCTCAAGGGTGGTATGGGTTTCCCTTGCGGTCTGAGCATTAATCATTGTGCGGCTCATTACACTCCCAATGCGGGCAACAAGATGGTGTTGCAGCAAGGGGATGTGATGAAGGTCGACTTTGGTGCTCATATCAACGGTCGCATTGTCGACAGTGCCTTTACTATGACTTTTGATTCGGTCTACGACCCTCTGCTGGAAGCCGTCAAGGATGCTACCAACACCGGTATTCGGGTTCGTCAGACCGCAGCCTTCAAACCACCGATGATTTCTTGCTGACGAGTTCACTGTAGGAAGCCGGTATCGATGTGCGTATGAGCGACATTGGTGCAGCCATCCAGGAGGCCATGGAGAGTTACGAAGTCGAGCTCAACGGCACGATGTACCCTGTGAAATGCATCCGGAACCTGAACGGTCACAATATCGATCAGCACATTATCCATGGCGGCAAGAGTGTGCCCATTGTGAAGGGCAGTGACCAAACCAAGATGGAGGAGGGTGAAACCTTCGCCATCGAGACCTTCGGTAGTACTGGAAAGGGCTACGTGAGAGAAGACGTAAGTGCTCTCAAGAAGACGTCGTTGCTTGCGTTCGGAACATGCTTACCCCATATTTTTCTGCAGATGGAAACCTCCCACTATGCCCTGATCCCCGATGCACCTTCAGTCCCTCTGAGACTCTCTTCCGCGAAGAACTTGCTCAACGTCATCAACAAGAATTTCGGCACACTGCCCTTCTGCCGTCGGTATCTTGACCGACTAGGCCAAGAGAAATATCTCCTTGGAGTGCGTCAATACTCTGCCATTTCCGGTGCAATCTTCCCTCTTCTACCATACTGACATACCTCTCCAGTTAAATAACCTTGTTTCGTCGGGTATTGTACAGGATTATCCTCCTCTCTGCGATATCAAGGGCTCATATACCGCCCAGTTCGAACATGTATGGGAAAGACTTACACCCTGATGCTCGGGAACAGAAGCTAACCTGAACTACAGACCATCCTTCTCAGACCAACCGTAAAGGAAGTCATAAGCCGAGGAGACGATTACTAAAAATAAAAAAAAAAAAAAATAAAGGTCCATAATGTTCTTGCATACTTGATGTGGATATTATGATGAGCCTAAGAGCTCAATGCTTCGAAGAAAGCAGAATGATACGACCCAGGCTTGAAATTCAGCATATATAGAATCAAAAAATGAATCACGTAGCCTTCATCTATGTATCCAGGGCCATTGGCTGCTCTGTCCTAGCGGTTATAAAATTAGCGACTTGTCCCTAATCATATCATGTGCCGCTGTAGCCCCACGTGGAAACTATCAGCTCCGAGACCGATAATCTCCAATTTATTATTGTTGTCTGATCGTCAAGGCTCAACGTCAATTGACCCATATCTTCTTCCTTCATTTTCCGGTTCACTCTTCCTTGCCTGTTGCATCCATGGACTAAGTCGTTACGAGTCCTGCAATTCCCTTACACCACAATGCCCTCTGTCGTTGCAACTGCCTCTGCACCTCACCTCCGCGTGTCCGCCGCAAAGCACCAGGGCGATAAGTCCTCATCGGATGCTCAACCATCGACGAGAATTCCAACCCCGGAGCAGTCGACGGTCGAAGATCAATTCTTCTGGACCTATACTGAGGAGCCTCATCGGTCGAGGCGGCAGGCGATCATCAAGGCTCATCCAGAGGTAGGTGTCCTCCCTGCTAAACAACACCAGCCAGCTTGCTAACTGTCTATCAATATTCTAGGTAACCAAGCTCTGCGGGCCTGAGCCTCTCACTAAATATGTCGTTCTGGGCGTTGTTACCCTTCAGATTTGCTGCGCATATCTCCTTCGCGACACATCATTCTTTTCATGGCGATTCTGGGCAACAGCGTACATAATTGGGGCAACTGCAAACCAGAATCTATTCCTTGCGATCCATGAGATCTCGCATAATTTGGCCTTTCGTTCAGCAATGGCTAATCGGTTGTTGGCCATCTTCGCCAATCTTCCAATTGGGCTGCCATACAGTGCCGCATTCCGGGTATGTGGTTTTTGAAACTCCAAACCGTCTCACTGATACACGGATGCAATGGTGTAAAAGGAACGTGGACCAGCTGACCTTTTGTCTGTCGTTCTCTACAGCCATACCATCTCACACATCACAAATCCCTCGGCGTCGCGGGCCTCGACACCGACCTCCCCACCGCTGTTGAAGCTTTCTTCCTAGATTCCCTCCTAGGCAAGGCATTCTTCTGCACCTTCCAGATTTTCTTCTACGCCGTCCGCCCCATGTTCATCTACAGTCCTCCATTCACCTACATCCACCTAGTTAACCTCATCACTCAACTCTCCTTCGACTATGCCCTCACCAAGTTCTGCGGCGGCTCCCTCCAGCCAGTACTCTACCTGCTCCTCAGCTCCTTCCTCGCCGGCTCTCTTCACCCCTGTGCCGGCCACTTTATCGCCGAGCACTACTTCTTCTCCCGGGTGGAGAGTGGCGGCACAGAAAGCATTCATGAGCAGAAGAAAATGCGGGAGGACGGCGGAGCCAGCAAGCAAAAGCAGCAACCGCACCCTCTAGACTCCCTTCCGCCACCAGAGACATACTCCTACTATGGCCCCCTCAACATGCTGACATACAATGTCGGCTTGCACAACGAGCACCACGATTTCCCGGCCATCCCGTGGACGAGGCTCCATGAACTTCACCGCATCGCGAAAGAGTTCTACGAGCCGCTCCCCTGCCACCGCAGCTGGGTCTGGGTCATCTGGACTTTCATCCTGGATAAGAATGTGGGCTTGTGGTGCCGTGTCAAGAGAGCGCAGGGCGGTCGTCTCGTTGGTGGAGGCGGGAATGGCCGAGCGGGGGAGGGGATATCTGCTGTTTCGGCCGGAACGGACGAAGGAGGAGATGGTTGGAAGGAAAGCGAGATTCAGAATTGATTTCTGAAGTACCTGTATCACCAAGTGTACTCTCGACACGAACTCTTTCCAAGTTATGCGGACGTGAAAGGGTGGACTGGAGCCACTTGATTTGGCAACAACTTCCGAAACAAAGTGTACATCTATTCAGGGCCCAGTTACTCCACATTCAGAACGACTACTGTCTTACATAGATTACAAGGGATAATAATAAATACTGAAAAACTGACAAGAAAGGCATCTGCAATGAAGGAGTTTTTGAAGAAACATTCATTGACATTTCAGTAACGTCATCATAATGTACCCGATACAGCCTGGCTATGAGCGTGTCGAGAATCGTCTAAGAAAATACAATGCCTTGCAAACAGTTGGCAACTGGGTGCCAGTAACAGGAAGACAGAGACGAAGAATGAAAGCCAGTCATGCGGCAAAGCCAGAAGAGCTTTAAAGGAAATTCATACGACACAAGCGAAAGATGCGCGTGGTAAGATAGACAAGTCCCCGTGCTCTTCCGCGAGGTACGGACAGAAATCGCTGCCATTTGCTGGATTCGTATCATAAGGGTAACTAGGAAATCATACTTTCAAAAGGAATGGGGAGACAAGAAATGGGAAAAGGCAAGCTGTAAAGGATGGAAAGCATACAAGTGCAAGCTGACGCCTTGGAAGAAAATTAGAGAGACAGGGCTCTTCAGAACAGAATACAGCGGCTCTGTAAGTAATAGAAACATAGAAAAGAAAAGTCCGGACAGAAAGAGGCTGGGAAAGGCGAAAATTGGTCTAGAAAAAGAAGTACGCGATCAAGAAACTTAGCAAGCAAAGCCCAGCCACGATCTGCAATGGCACACCTGCGGCGACGGGTTGGACCTGCTGTTGTTGCATCGTAGGCGCTGATTTCTCGTTCTCGCCCCCAATCTTCCTCTGTCTCAATCCCTGGTCCGCAAGTCTCTCTTTGAGTTTTTGAATCTGAGCATTAGCCTCTGAAAGTTGAGTCTTCAGCTCATCAGCTGAAGCTGGGATACCCGATGTGTTTGATTTGCCAGATGTGGCTGAAGTCTCATTCGATTGTTGGGCGAACGCATCCCGCTTGGGCTTCTCGCTGAAATCTGGCGGTGGGATAGGTGACGTGTCATTGGAAACTTTGGTGGAAGCCCCAACTGCAGGAGTTTGATAGTTCGCGCCAGGTGACGTATAGGAAGGGGGTTCTTCTTCGTGTGCAGTCTAGAATTGGTAGTTAGTCACGAGTGATCTAGGAAATGATAATTGATATGCGACAAGGGGGCGCACAATTCCATTTGTCTCCTGCCCCTGCTCGATATTTGAGGACTCTGCAGGCAGCCAGTTCACACGAATCTTGCGCTCCTGGATGGAAGATTTTGAAGCTTTCTCGAACTAAGTAGCTATTAGAAAGTATGGCAGGCAACTTGCAGCAAGGGATAGACGAACAATCGAAGAAACGTTGGAGAACTCCATGTCACCAGTCACGGCGACGGTCTGAACCAGGAACTTGTCTTTACATTTGGCGTCAGGCGCAGGCTCTTCCTTCATCGCCTGAAGTAACACTGTTCGACTGATCAGCACTCCCATCAAGGGCTGAGCACTAGCTTCAAGATATGAACCAACCATGGACATCCACATTCTTGCCAGGTTCTATCCGTCCTGAATTAGGGCGAACGCAGTAGCTAGTTGACCATCAGTCAATACTCGAGGCTGATATGCAAAGCTAGTATTCTAGAGGAGGTACGGACTGTTTCGGAGCGGTTGTTTTGACCTAACGCACACAGGCTTGTTAGTGTGCGATCATGGTAGGCTACACTTCCGGGGGGCGCATTTGCTAAATACCTTGAAGACCACGGGCTCTGAGTTAGTGTTGCTCAAATGTAGAATCTCACAGACTTCGCGATCGAAAGGGCCTGATTTCTCAGTCAGCGTATATGTTCCAGTCCCCCGCAAATCCTGGGTTGGAAAGACCCACGTTTGAACCCCAACTCAGGTGGTTCCAGAAGAATGGACATTGCTGTAACGGAATAAAGGCGAGTAGATGTGCGAACGAGGCAGATGAGATATGGAGAGACACTCAAACCAGAAAAAAAAAAGGAAGTGGGTGGATTAAGCTAGTCGGTAATGTGGAGGTTGGATAAGGTAGGGGAGATCATGAAGCGGTTGTTTCGGCCAAGGGAGTAGTTAGGTGATCACGGAGTAAGGTACGTAGCTGATTGCAATAATAATGGATCGTTTCCATATCGCAAGTCCCACTCTGCGCTCTCATTGGTGCTTGTCTACTGATTAATCAGCAACCTTTGGGACAAGTCAGGTGATGTCATCACAGGTGCTTTTACGATCGACGGCATACTTTCAACTGTTTAAAGGTATGACCTGGGCAAATCTAAAGTGTCGGCTACTTCACTAACTAGGTCTTCGAACTGACAGTATCTTCATGCTTGGGCTCACTGAATGGATACATACATGATCTGTATGTTCTGGTTTCGTTGACAGGCTCGGAGATCCACAAGCTGCGATCCTCGAAACATTCCGATCATGAACCAAAAGAAGCCGATTTGTTTATCAGGAACGAGGACATGGCACATGTATGGATGTGGCATTTCTTTCTACCGGAGAAATAATCCTTTTCGGAGCAGAGAGAAATCCTGACTCCTTGTACTATTATAACGTCGGGGGTTACTGATGTGACCTTGCAAGTCAAATTTCCACTGCATAAGTCTTGTTCAATCTCTATTACAAGATACAACAGTGTTATCGAGAATAACCAGATATCTTCCGAGTTATCACGGGACCAATGGCCCGAAGTACTCTACCAAAAATCCGTATGGATTAATCGGCGAAGTGAGACAGCCTTTTGATACATAAAGTCCAATCGTTCATGGTCTGGACTGGGGGATAGCTGGCTATCCCCGTCGACGGTTGTCTATTCAGTAGCCATCTTTCCTAGATGCTTCGTCTTGCCCAACTTTATCACTTACATACTACTTTGTACTCCGTAGTGGACGATCTTTTAGCACTTGTAAGACTCTTTCCCGCTGAGTTATATTATATGCACTCTCAGTGAAAACAACACAACCTTCATTTCTCTCATTATCTCAGCCCTAATGGAAACAAATCTTAGTTCTTTGTTATGACGGCTATGCTGCTAGAACAGTATGTACTAAGATGTAAGATTTCCCGTACCTAGAACTCCGCCCTTAATTAGTAAAAGTGGACCATCCCGCATCTCTCACTCCGCCGCCTAAGCTCAAAGGCTATACCTCTCTACGTCACTTGGAAACTGGCATCTATCTACCTACCGCTGTGTACAATCTCCTTTTCACCCAGTTGCAGCTTTTCCAACCCCACTCCAGCCTCTGAGCAGCTGCATAGACCCAACATATCTAACCTTGACATTCTCTTCTAGCATAACGGAGAAACTTTAGGGTCTATCCGGCTCGGCCTCTACTTCCGCTCCAAAACTCTCGACAGCTCCTCCACATCAGGGCATCACCTTCCTCAGAATTATCACTTGGGCTTAAGAGATGGCTACTTCAGACTTGGATCAGCTCATTGAAATGGGCTTCGATAAAGAGAGAGCGGAGCTGGCAGTGGCAAGAACCGGTGGACGTAAGGACACCCCTCACTCCTCACCTCGTATGAAGTACTGATCTTTCCTTTCGATCAATTTCAGTCCAAGGAGCTTTAGAGTGGCTTGAGGAAAACCAAGACAAGTCGTTGGAGGAAATAAAGGCTGCTGGGTCGAAAGAAGGGGAGAATGAGGAGGGGCCCGCGTTGCAACCCGGCGAAGAACCCCGCAGTTTGGCTTGTAACGAATGTGGGAAAAAGTTCCGCAGCCAGGCACAGGCAGAATTCCACGCATCTAAGTCCGGGCATGTGGACTTCTCAGAGTCAACGGAAGAGATCGCACCCTTGACGGAGGAGGAGAAGAATGCCAGATTGGAGGAGCTCCGGCAGAAGTTGGCCGCAAAGCGAGCGGTACAGGCTGAGCAGGATAAACTAGATCAGAAAAGGAATGAGGTGAGGGCATTCTGTCAGCCCACTTCAACATCACCTACTGATAGTTTCGGTACAGGAAATTCGACGGAAGAGCACCAAAGAATCGCAAGACATCAAGGAAGAACTGCAGAGGAAACAGATGATGAAGGAAGCGGAGAAGAAGAAGCAAGAGAAACTGGAGGAACTTGAAGTCAAGCGTCGCATTAAAGCCAGGATCGAAGCGGATAAAGAAGAGCGGAGACTGAGAGCTGAGCGGGAAAAAGCCGAGCGTGCCGGCATGGCACCTCCTGCACAACCAGCTGCTCCAGCGCCTACAACCTCGGGACCTGTTGCTTCCAAGCCCGCAGCTGCTTACACTGAGACTCGGCTGAGATTCCAGACGCCCAAGGGAAACGTCATGAAAACAATGCCCGTCTCTACTACCTTGTTCGAAGTTGCCGCAGCCTTGCAACAGGAGGACGGCATTGAGGTGCAAAGCTTCGTGCAAAACTTTCCTAGAAAAGTGTACAACGCCGAGTTCTTTGGTGAGTCTCTAAAAGACCTTGGACTTGTTCCCAGCGCCAGTCTTATAGTCCAGTGATTTGTGGTCTGGACTCGGTGAGGCCGGCCGCCTGAGTCAGGCTGCAACCACTTTTCAGGTTGATTACGATATTTAACGCAGACAATTACTATCCAACCAAGTCTATTGCGTAAAAGTTGAAGTAATAAATTTCCAGATACGCAACTACCAATCAGTGAACGGAGCGATGGGCCAGTAATTGTATTCCGGGATATGGTCACGTGATGTCGCGGCATGCCCGTGTTGCCTAACGCGTCTCATTACGTCGTGCTCCTCTTCTCAAATACTCATTGCCTCATCATCCTGCGCGACAAAGCCCTAAATACGTGCGAGCTTCAATGACCTGATTCTTTGCAGGTTGTTCGTATCTCTGAATTATGCCCGCGTAAGCTAATATGCGATCCTCTAATCGTATTGTTATGCCCGTGACCAAAGCTAATCGCGACTTACCCCAGTGTCGGCGACCAACACCGCAGTGGTCCAGTATGCGTCATGATGCCAAATTCGACAGGAAACATGTCCGGTAACCCATTTGAAGAACCACCTCGGCGGATCAGCGAGTATACGGCGCAGGAAATTGCGACGCTCCAAGCGCGCCTAGATAAGAAATTGGGCCCTGAATACATCTCCTCGAGGCCTGGCGCCGCGGGACAGAAGGTGCACTATCTATCCGCTGATAAATGCATCAATCTTGCCAATGAGGTGTTCGGCTTCAACGGCTGGTCGAGTTCAATACAGAATATTCAGATTGACTTTGTATGTTCGATGAAACGGATCAGAACGCGTTCGGGCGGCGGTTGGGGGACATTGCTAATGGATGCTCTGTGACAGGTTGAGGAAAGTCAAAATACCGGGAAGATCAGCTTGGGGCTATCGGTCATTGTGAGGGTAACACTGAAGGATGGTACTTACCATGAAGTATGTGTTCACGGTTGCGTACTCCACACGGTCGTCCTTACTCACTGGTCCGGATCAACTCAGGATATCGGTTACGGTCATATTGAGAATTGCAAAGGAAAGGCTGCTGCTTTTGAAAAGGCCAAGAAAGAAGGAACTACTGATGCACTTAAACGTGCATTGAGGAACTTTGGCAACGTTCTGGGTAACTGCATCTACGACAAGGATTATGTTGCGAAAGTTACCAAAGTGAAAGCCACTCCTGTACGTTGCTAACCTCGGCATGATACTCGAACAATGTCTTGTTCTGACAAACCTATAGGCGAGATGGGATGTTGACGAACTTCACCGGCATCCTGACTACGCACCGATAAAGAAGGAGCCTGTTCTACCAAAACCCGTCCCAGAGGATGACGACCTCCCTCCTCGGCTACCAAATGCTGGGAAATCTACAAGTACAAATGATACTGCTGTGTTTGATGGCGATGGGGAGTTTGGAAGTAGGCAAAACAGACCGTGTTTATTTCTTCTGTTCACTCATGGCTGATGAATTTAGGTGATCTCTTTGACGAGGCCGATTTTGGAGTGACGGCTTCTGGAAACCCCGATGAGATAGTGCTGGAACCAGAAGCCCAAGTAAACCCACAACCACCGACTCCTGTAAAGACGGGCCCTCACGGAAATTTCCACCACCCAAACCCGGCAGTCGTGACACCTTCCAGGCCAGAAAGGCCATTCAACCAGACAGTCAACAACAGACAACCTTCCGTTCCGCCCACTCTCAATCAACGACACAATTCTACGCTGCAAAGCCAATATGTCGGACAAAGGCAACCTGTCCCGCAAGGACAACAGCAGAACTTTCAAAACAGCAGAATGGCACCCCCAGATCAACCAAGGACTAGCCAAGATTCAACCTTGCCAGGCGCTGCAGGGCAAATGCCTATCAAGCGAGAATTTGACGCTAAAGCTCAGGACACAGCTCCTCCGGCCAGTTCACCCTCTGTTCCGCCTGCCTCATTCTTTTCAGCTCGAGCAGTAGATTTGTTGCGGGAAAACCCACATACTGCCGTGAATGCTCCCCAATTCGATCCCCACGCCGAAAGTCCCTCGATCCGCAAGACAGCAGGCGTCGATCATAGCAAGAGTGTCCCGATATCGAAGCCAATGCTTACGGGAGCCTCACCCGCTTCAAACAATACGCGCGACTTTATCAATCCTTCCACGGACATGCATCGAAAAATTGGCGCCCCTGGTGGTATTGGCAGTCCAATGATGAACCGGGGTCAGACGACTTCATCATACCGCCCACTGACTCGGCAAAATCTTGATCCAAAACCCGCTGCAAGCAACGCAGCTGCAAACAGAGCCGGGTTTGGACCACCCAATGTTAATGGGAAACGGCCGCCTTTAAGTGACGTGACGAATGCATCTGTCTCTGGCAGCAGCGGGCCTGCTTCAGCAGTCAATGCCAATGATCCCAAAAGACCCAAGATTGATGAGAATTCGACGCCATCCTTACCGCCGCAGCAGCAACAGCAGCAATAGAGTATACTTGGTCTTTCACGCTCATTTTGTTCTGTCACCTCCTCGTCGTCATTTTAGAGAATTTGTTGAGTAGTCGGCGTTTAGGCGACAACGGCATAGTTACTGGGACGGCAGATTAGCATTTGATCATTCCTTGATGGTTACAGCTAGATCTGCATCTTCATCTTTATCTTTGGGCACTTGCGGTCCGTTTGACCGGCCTTCAAGGCGGAATGATTTAGAATGAGCATTAAATGGCTGCTTGATTCCGAACAAGGAAATGACTGATGGATGCGACCTGCATCGTTTGCTTGCCGTCAGGGATCATTTGAGCATTAATTATATATAGCCCTTAAGCCGAAGACGGCAAGAACTAGCCCCTTTTCTGCATGTTCCACTTTTTCAATCACGGAGGTCGAGAGAGAGCTGTCAGGACAGCATCAGGCGACGACCTAAGGGATTCGACCAAGAATTGCAAGCCTTAGTCACTACCTTTGCAGACGAACAGATCCCATTATTCGTCCCAATACATCTAGCAATTGTGTACGCAATAGCACCGTCATATAGTCAAAATGCTTGTGCTCGGATGGCAGAATGTTTCTGTTGAGCGCTGTCGCCACTCATCTTCCCTACATACGATTGTGCATGACAAAGGAAGGTGCTCTGGGAAGGACAAAAGAAGTAGAGGTGCTGAAAAGGGCAATGGCAATCACAAATACATATCAGCGTTGGAGTGCTAACTAGAGAAAGAATAGCGAGGGCTAGCTAATCGTACAGATTTCACATTTGGAAGGTTCGTCACACATAATCAAGAGAAAAGGAAATAGAGTAATATCGGTTGGAGAAAACTATCAGACGACGCAATTTATGCCTGTGGGCGATATCAACGAAGTGGCTTTTGAGTCTCAGAGCTTGCCCATCTCGAGCCTTGAAGGCCACTAGACTTGCGATTCTCAGGTGCTGCAACAGTAGGCTTTTGCACCACGGGGGTTGCATAGGTGAGGCTGCCCAATGCTGAGGGGCTCGGATTTCTCATGGCCGTGGGATCCTCTTGCACCTTTGGAGCATGCATAGACCGTTGCAATGCAATCACCTGCGAAATAGCACTCCTCTTCGAAATAGCTTTATGCACCGCTTTGACTGCCTTGGGCACAGGAGTAGGAGTAGATGGGCCTGAGTCTGAATTTGACTTCACTCCATTAGATCCACTCCCTGGCGCAGCGGTTGCCAACCCGACAAGTCTCGGAGAACGTTCACCGGTACTGCACGACGCACTAGTGAACTTGGCAGATTCCGAGTTCGATGTTCCATGCGTGTTTATGCTTTCGGGGACGGAAGGCCTTGCTCTAGGCACAGTAAGGGCTTGTGGCATTGTTGCAGTCAAAAATTTCGGACGAGCATCATTCGGCTCTACACAAATGAGGCGTCAGCAATGGTTAGGTAGAGATCACAAATGTAAGAGCACATACCCTTCAGCGCGTTCTTATCTGGCGATAATGCTTCGTTCCCATGTGTCTTACCGTTGAGTCTTCCCCTACCGGGCAATAAATGATCACCAAAGATATGATTCTCACTGGCCAGACGCCCGCGTGGTGGGAGCTGAGATGCAGATCGTGAAGAAAGAGAAGCAGTCGAATCAATAAGCATATGGTCTTGACTATTCTGGCGAGAATGTTGTGACTGTCCAGTTCGTGACTCGGAGGTTGTTGAGCTTGGAGGGCTAGGCTTAGTATCTCGCCAGCCACTGAAACTGGGATTCCTGGCAGCAACCGTTGGGACGAATTCCTTTGCTTGCACATTGAATTTAGACGGACTAGGTGTCCCCTCGGAACGCAGACTAAGTCTACTGTTGCCTTCCTCAGGAGGAGCTTTCACCAGAGGAGAACAGACCGAGGGTGTGGGGGAGGATATCTTGGAATGTTTTCCTTCCGCAGCTGTTTGAGCTTCCGTTTCCTGAGGTTTGTGAGATGAGAGAATTTCCTGTCGCTCTTCGGCAGTCTGTGAGGCAGTCTCCTGCACTGTCCGTTGGTGCAAGGAAAGTATCTCTTTGAGCTCTTGTTCGTACGTCCTGAGAGCTTGCAGGTCCATATCTCGGAGCGGCTCAGGCACATGGTGGCGCAATGTTTCCTCCACAAATTTGTAAAGGCGTGCGAGCTTTTCTCGGAGGGAAGCTAGATTAGATGGTGTACCGTCAGGCGTAGAGGTCATCGTATCACCACTACTTTCCCCGATCCTTGGGCTGGAAGAGTCCTTTGAACCGACTGGCTCAGTCTTAACGAAAGAGTATATCTGCGGTTCCGGCCGTGGTTCTGGCCTCGAAAGAACACTTTGTGCAACATTTGCTTGAAAATTGATGCCTTCCAAATCTTGCAGGGCTGGGCTCATCGACAAACTATCTTCCGCGCCCGGAAGACTCTTCCTTGGAGGAGTGGAATTGAAGTCAAGGAGAATTCCAGTCCTCCCCTCGGCTTGGACATTAGCAGAGTAGAGATCTTTGCTTTGGACGATTGTACTTGAGCCGGACGGCGGTGTTGAGACATCAACCAGCGCGTCGTCTTGGTTTTGCTTTCCATCTTGAGCTTTGTCGTCTGATTGTTCGGAGGTGGATTTGACGTGCTGCGGTTTCCCTTGCTGTGGAGATTGTAGTCTGCTGGGCTCAAACCACTGGTCTCTTTCACTCGCTGTATGAGCTGCCTGGGCTATGTTTACCCGTAATGATTGACCATTATTAGAGGACGCAGGCGTAGCGACTGCCACTGAGTCTCCGTCTGAACGGAAAGAAACGATGGAGTCCTCGTATGCTCGGCCCGCATTGGTCTCCTCAGGTTGGTTGATAGATTGGGGAGTTTCGTGATCAACGGCCCCTGTGACTTGAGTTTGTTCAGAACCCATGGTACGAACAGTTGTTGGGACATCCGAAGACCTCCCATTGACCAGACTATCGCGCGCTATAGAAAGAAAGTCTTCAGGAGGGCTGAGTCTTGACCAATCGGTGTTACCACTATCGCACAATGTCAGATTGTGCCTAAGCTTCGGTGGAAGTTGAACTTACACAGGCCGTCTTGTTTTGAGAAGAACGAGGTCTCTTTTCACACCTTCTCGGAAGAGTCAACCGGTTGCTTTCTTTCAAGCTCGCAGAGGCTTGTACTTACCACCTTTAACAACTGTTTGCAACTTCGAGCCAGATACATCCCTACTGATCTTCGGCGGTTCATTATTGATATCAAGAGCAGGATCCTGCAGGTGCTTCCTGGCGTGAGGGGACTGGACCACATGGTTGCCCAGCTTTGCGACAGCGCCTTGGTGTGTGACTCTTGTCTGAGCGCTAATTATGAGTTAGGCCAGATTCAGGGGCTTGCTAATGGGATCAGTGGCTTACTCTGGCGAGGTCTGCTTTGTTTCACGACCTCTTGTACCGATGACACCACCGCCACGGCCGGTTGTTTTGGAGCCTCTCGTTGATGCAGAGCGGCCGCTCGGAGCACGCCCCGCAACCTGAGGGAAACTATCATTCTTCTTTGTGGATTTTAAGTAAGACTGGCCACCGCTGCCTTCTATCACGGCGCGCAGTCCAAGACGGTGGTTCTGGCCGTTCAGAAGATGGTCTAAAGGCTCTTGATCAGCCGAATCGCCTAAATCCTTGTGTGCATCTTTCACAAATCTTAGCCAATAATCCGGATAATTCTTTAATGTAGTGAGAAACTCACTTGCCCAAGCGTTAAGGCGTGCTTGATTCGCTTGGGCCAGACGCGCAGCGTCTGATCCAGCAACGTTTATCATTCGCGTGGCCTCGATATCCTCCAAGCGAATATTCCTGAACTTCTTGGTGTCAACAGTCGAGATATACTCTCTTCTAAGCGTCCCAAGGTCCTCCTATATACAATTCAGTGTTAGTCAGACTCTCCTACAAGCATCTTATGACGGTATCAATAAGGCGCAACTATCTTACCATTTGAAGCCTCTTCAGGCGCTCGATTGCCTCTTCGTCCATGATGACTTGCTCAAATCTGCAAGATATGAACGTGCGAGAATGGAAACGTGTAAGCAAAAGTGCAACAGACGTATGTTTCCAGAGTCAGAGACGAAGAAGAAAATGAGTGAATGTAGCAAGGCACAACAGGGAAACCAACAGAGGGCTCACTCTCTGTTGATAAGAATCGAAATGAAGTCAAGATGCAAGTAGCGCGAGATCTTCTAGTTGTCAGCTCAGAGTCAGAAGATACCTGAAGGTCAACAAAAACTCTTCCAATGTCTAGTGGGAATCTGTAGGAAAGGTGAATATCCCCTTCATGATTATGGCAGTTTGGGAGTAAACCGAGGTAAGGGGACAATGAACTGCTTCAAAGACCAGAGAATGGTGCAGGGAAACAAAGAGGGGAGGGAAGTGTGAGAGAAAAGAGAAGAAGAAAAATAACAAAGAAGTTGTATTGGGGATGTTCAGTGGCTTGTTGCTACGGCGTCAAGTGCAAACGCAAGTAATGGACTAAAACGGAAGGACTCAATATTGATTGTATGTAGACCGCTGTGTCTCTCTGATCATGAGTTGTAGTTCAGAAGCAGTCGAACAAGAATTAGTGTCATACTCAGAGCATCCCAGATCACAACAGATGCCAATAAAGCCTTCAAAGGTGCTGTGTCAAAGAATCAGCTTCACAGTATCTGGAAGGAAATAATACCTGAAACTGGAGACTCTTCAAAACTACGACGAGGCCCTCCCTGTCATGTCGATATCTCTCATCAGTAAGAATTCAGTTTATTTGAAAGTAGTTATATGTACAACAGTCCCAAGACCGAGAGAGACGTCTATGAGCCGATCAAAGGTATCGTATATTTAGACAGGCATTTCCACTTGCTAGGCACTGCAAGTCCTCGTGCCACCCTCGTCTACGCAGCGGATTTCTCCTGTTAGCGGATCTAACCTCAAGAAGATCAACGTCAAGGGCCCAAACTCACTGCTTATCATCTTTGCAACAGCTTGCAACAGGCTGACTCCCATAACTGTGATACCGAAGGCGATACACAGATATGCGGGAACCTTAGATTTCCAACTCGCATTGCTTAACTTCACGTAACAAAGCGGAGGAAATATGTACGCCAAAGCAGCTGCACTTGTTGCGCCAATGAGCTCGAATACAGCCCCAAGATCACATGTGAACAATGCCATGGCCATAGCTGTCACCACCAGAGATGTCGTGAATATTAAGTGTCGATTCATGTTGAAAGGTTCGTCGGGGAAGTAGTAGGTCGTCATGACCGACCGGCAAACGAAGGCTTCAAGGGGCAGCGTTGTAAGCATATTCAGGCCAAAGCAACTGCGGACAATTTGATGTTAGGTTAAGCAAGGGTTGTTAGTCGTATGGAGGAGGTCTTACAGCCGCGCGATATTGACCATTATGTTATCAGAAGGGAAGTTGTTGAGCACATTGCCTTGGGTCTTGGATCCGAAGAAGAGGAAGCCTGAGATACCCATAGCCAAGCACATACAAAGGGAGACGGCGGTTGAGTAATGGGTTACTTTTGCGAAGCGATCCATGGTTGGCTTCTTGAGAGAACCATAAATCAAGAGACTATTGTGGTCTTTGGACGGTCAGTTAGGGTCTTGCGGATTATGTATATGCGGTGGACAACATACGGCAAACGAACGCTATGGTCTGTTAGACATTAGAACTTCAGGTTCTTTGGGCAAGGCAAACTTACCGAAAGATATCACTCCCACGGCCTGAAAGAAACCAGAGTTGACGAAAAGTAGGCTCTTCACCTCGCCACGAGATTCTGAGGGAACTCGGAATCCCTGAGTGATTACAGCAACGACAATCACCAACATACTTATGAGCGCTAACGCAGACGCCTTAGCCAGCTACTACATTGTTAGCCTCTGAAATGTTCGTCCGCTGCATAGAGAGTATTAGAATCGCACCTTGGCAATGTCCCGGTACAGAGATAATGGGTATGAGACTCCCAGGACGAAAAGAACAATGATAGCTCGCCTGTCCGTAAGGAGCCAGAGGAAGGACATATCTCGGAGAGAAGGAAATACAGAGCTGAAAACATGCGGTATAGTATCACCCACAATTATGCAGAATGCAATCATGCCGCCAAAGGCAAAAGCCCACTGAGCGACGGAGATCGCAATGAGACCACTTTTCCCGAAACAATGCTGCATCGTTGCTTGGAAGGAATCCGCGCCACTCAATTTAGAATTGACCACAATCAAGCGAATCGTCCAATCCACTGCGACTGTGAGCGCGCATAAGAGCAAAACTCCCATTGTCATGCCCGCCTGCCGAAGCGCATAGGGTTGTCCGATGATACCAGCTCCAATAATGCTGTTGGCCATATTCATAAAGGCCATCCGCATTCCGCTCCTCGGCCTCGCGTTCTCGAGGTGATCCTCAGGGAAGAAATCATCGGAGGTCGCAAGGGTTACACTGGGCGCCTCTATATCCGTCAAAAGAGGAACCATCTGGCCTCTGCCATTTCTTCCCGATCGGCTTGCATTTGGCCGCGCATAATCCTCCTCCTCCAGCCACGAGTCCTCCGAGTCGCGAGAGTGTCCATTCGGGAGACTTTCCTCTTCCGATTCTTCCTCAATATCAAACCGAACACGATTCATTGTACGAGGGCGACGTTGCCCATCCGAAGCAGGCTGAGAGATCGACGATCGATATTGGTGCGAACCAGGAGGAGCAGAAGGGGAGGTCAGGGGAGGACTGTTTGGAAGGGGATGGGTTGGCCGATCGGTTTCTTTGCTCGAAGATCCCGAGAGCAACGATTGAGATTCTCCTTCATGTGGACCATAATGGTCAAGTAATAGAGATTCCCGTCCTTCATCCTCTTTCATTGCTGATTTTGAAGCTCATGGTAACCTCACTTTTTACGAACCGATCATCGTTTGGGGCCAGGTAACCACAAAGATTCACACGTGATGGTGCTTATCGATAAGCAAACAAAGAAAGACTACAGCCAATCACAGCTACAAGTTATACTTCCACGTCACATCTACTAAACATTTGGGCCATATTTGATCTACATTTTTTCTAATATTGGACAGACCTAGGTTGAATGGAAAGCAAGCATGTGCTGGATCCATGATCTTCTTTTTATAATGGCTATTAAATCATCTGCTGTGCTTGACGTAAATCAAATTCCTAACAATCAGTGTTACAGCCCTGCTGCAATGATTAGGTTATGTCATGGTCTGGTTGCAGTAGTATGTTTATTGAATGCAGTAAATACCAGCAAATCAAAAGATTGAGTTGCTCTGTTAGATACCGACATATTGAATGTACCTGACCAAGGCAGCAGCTGTATGTCTTCCCAGTTGATAAGGTAATGCAAACGCCCCTGCGTGACGAACCGAAGGCTAAGGTAAGGCACACAGAAGACCTGCCAATCCAGTCCCTTCTTACTGCTCGGAGAATCATCAGTCACTGCTGAAAGCATCGAATCATTATTTACCATGGCCCTGGTTATTGAACTAGGGCAAGATACAATCCATCTCTCCCACTCGAACTCAGATTTGTCTCTGATGCTACGTGCGTCGTTGGACATATCTCTCTCAGGAAATCTGAATTCTGGACGCCCTGAGGATCTTAATAAACTGATAAATTCTGGATTAATATGGATATCCCAATCACCAGAAATTAAAATGCATGTCGTCGTCACTACCAGATCTCATTTCTCTGAGTCAGTTCCATCTTACGTCTCTCACGTAGGAGATATAATTCGCAAGTCCAAAGTACGTTATCACGGGCCAAAAACCACTTACACCGCTGTGATCGACCCATTTACTGACAGACACCCTGCAGCTCTGGTCAGATTTGGATCTTTCTGTCCTACTCCGAAGCTGGGGCCGTTTTTCCGGATCGGACAATTCAACGACCATCAAGTTTTCCTTTGGATTGCGAAGAAAAGCGGGCAGGCCGTCAACAAACAGACTCCGCCGAGTACCAATATCAGCGCAGCACGACGGCGATGCTGCTCCTCCAGCAAATATTCACACAGCATACTTGTCTACGATAAACGTGTTCCTTGAAGTCTACGACTCGAACAAAGCCAGACAGAAATACTTCCGATTAGCGCCGAACCTGCCAATCTCCATACCCCCGAAACCTTTATAGCCAATCCCAAGCAATGGAGCACAATAAAAAGCCTGCAAGGCTTTCCAAAGCTTCCAGTGCCGCAAGCAGACTGCGTAGCCGAATTCATGGACAGCAGCACAGTGTTGTTCTTGGACGAGCTCGAGGATATGAAAGACCACTGCCGGATGGAGGAAGGCCGCGATAGTCACATTTATCACGAGCTTGATCAACTGCTCAGGAAAGGCCTTCGATCGCTCATAGTTGAAAGACGTCCGCAGAGTGATACAGGCACTCAGGGCTCCGGAGATCAGGTTCTCCAGCCCCTGTCTCGCATTGTGCCTTCGGTGTTCAGCTTAGGCTACCGTGATGTACTACTCCGAATTGGCTTTCACCAAGAAGGGCGCATACAACTGACACACATTTCTCCATCCACAGGCCATGAACCAGCGATCCCAACTAATTCCGTCCATCGCGAAGTCCCTAGCTTCAGTGCTGAAGACGACGAGGAACCCGACTTTGCAAAGCAGAATCAACGACCTCCAAGCTTCGCATAATCCTCGAACAGAAGCGTCTCAAGCACCAGGGTCGAGCGACTTTAGAGCAGCAATACAGACTGCCCTCTGGAAGATCGCCCAGAAGCAACTATATGATTCCCGGTCTTCGCGGAAATTGAGCGTATCAGATGACGTGACCACTTCCGCCGATGATTACAGAGCTGAAGAGGATCTTTTGTCGGAAGTAGGCATGGACAACTTTCACGATGATCTGAACAGTGAAAATCACGAGATATACGATTCCGATTGTTATTTGGGAAGCAATTCCGAGGATCTCGAATTCATGGAGGAAGATGAAACGAATTCTGTTTTATCCTTCGAAGGAAATTATTCACACCATTCGATTGATATGCTGGGACATGACGATCCAGAACTTGATCAAATTTGGGAAGACCAGACAATACTTGACCATACACAGAACAGAACCGCAATATCCGTGCCCAATCTTTCAGAGCAACTCTCCTGCAACCTTTCCATAAGTGATGGCGAGATGCTGGCATCTGACTGCTTCGAAGACGAGCCTACGAGCCCACCAATTCTTCCTTATAGTCCTAGCTTATCCGGGACTTGTGAGGCTCCCGTTGAGCACTGCGACTTGACGCTGTGTGACCACAACTGGATTCTATAATTTGTAATAATAGGCAATCGAGTTGCAGGATATGTATCCGCATGGGTGACCTTCTACAGTATATACATTATCTGACAGTCAAAGGTACCTCAGCTTTAGCCAAAGAGATTGTTTACTCAGTGTGTTCTATTAAGATAATAAGAGAAGATAGCAGAGCCGCCATAGATTATCCATCGATTCTCCGACAAAGTAAGACAAAACCACACCCTAATTCATAACATTAGCCCGAATTACCGTCTTCGCAACACCATAAACCAAACACGCCACTGTAGCATCAGTCAACAAAGTGTTGGGTATCTGACAGAGAGAGATCAGGGTCAATTATAAGTCAACATGCACCGTCCCAATGCACCTTCGTGCTCCGTACTCCATGCAGTCAAATTGTTTCAACATCGGTAAAGTCGTACTCGTCGAAGACATCTAGTCCTTCATGAGGTAGTGTGACAGTCATGCAAAGTGCGCTATATCCATCACATAGCGTCGGACTTGTGAAATACACTGGCAGAAGAATGTCTACTGCCTCTCGGGGTATTTTCGTCCTCGACTACTTCTTCGCGAAGCGGGTTGAGCATTGCACCAGCAGGCCATGAGGTTGCACCTGAAGAAACAGCGAGGGGTCTGAGACCGGTGTCATCGAAAAGTTCAATGAATCGTTCGTCGAGGGGCCTTGATTTCGGCCAAGAAAAGTTGATGTATTCCTTACGAATAGCTGACATGTCCCAACCCTGAACCTTCCGAAAGCAGCCAACAATGCATCCAGTCCGATGCTGTCAAGTCTAGTTAGTCACGTCGGATTATCGGCCTTTGCGCTCACCTTTCCCTTGTTGCAGTGTAGAAGGAGTGGGTGATTAGCATTGTTGAGTATAATTTCCAGGACTCGATTCACTACATGGTCCGGGGTCCGACCTGTGGGATCCTTGTTTGCCAGGATAAGAATGCGACGATGCTCTATACCATTCTCTTTGAGAAAGACCTGGTGGTCCTGAGTGTAGTCCCCTTCAACTAACGTACTATGTGGACAAGCGTAAGCAAGGGGTAAAGATCTTATGGCGGCAACTTACACAATCATCCTGAGGCCCAGCTTCTTTAGTGCTTGGAAATGCCAAGGTTGTGGAAAAGAGCTTCTATAGACCCCTTTGACAACCTCTCCAAAATTCGAGGGCAACTTTTCAGGGTGGATGATCTCCGATTCCACTGATGTTTCTCTAAGTCGAGTTCTTTCGCCTGCTCGACGCGGTCTAATCAGTAAACAGTTCACTGCAATGGTCAATAACAAAGACAAGAAGGCCCACCCGCTTTACCCCTGAGGGAGCTATTGGAAGACTTCTCGCTAAGCGGCGTAACCATCGTAATGTTTTCTTTGAGACAGGTGAAACTCAATGCAGCCTTGACGCGTATTGGTGGTCTCAACGCTCCCCTGTTCCCTTCAGGCGCCTGTGATATGCCTGGAGACAGGGCAATACAGAACAACAAGCCTTGAAACTTGTCTATTGACCCAGGACTCTAGATACAGCAGGTTCCAAGACGGATCGTAAGAGTGTCTTCGGAAGGGACGTCAGCTCTATGGAGAGTCCAAAGATAGAAAGACGATTGCCCGATGAAGCGGTGTTCAGTCAAACAAACGAGCTTGAAGAGAGGCCATGATGGAGGTATTCGAGAGTGTCAAGAGACAGGATGGATAAGCGAGAGAGAGAATAGATCAGTGAGTAAGTTATTTTTGTTATCTTGTCAATAGCAACAACAAGGGCAGAGAGACATAGACTGTTGAAGAAGTATGGGCGGTGAGCTACTGAAGGAGGGATATCAACAAAGTGAATGGCACAGCTTGACAAAAATCGCGCTAGCATGGGCTTGACCTGCGATATCTGGCATGAAACAGGCCTATACTGCAGCCTAGGAGACAAAATCTGGCAGAAGGCGTTCAGCAATTGCAAGTGAAAAGCATAGCTACCAACTTCTGTCACAGCATATTGCTTCAACAAAGATGACCTCATATTGAGTCTGTTATAGTCCAGACTCAGAATATCATGGCAGGAGCAAACAGTCACAGTTGAAGTCGCTTCTCTGCTGAGTCACTTTCGTGGTGATTGGAAAATGGACTGCTTTCTTTATCAGACGGTGCCAACTTTGTAAATCGACGCCTGAAACATTCGAATCAGAAGAGCTTCGGTCAATTTAAAATCAGACAGCTTGGCCATGAACATTGAGAAGCAAAGTTCATTGACACGCTCGCAATCATTTCTATCTATCGGAGTCAAAGTTAGGGTATGGACAGAATGACTGGGCTTGACAAATCCCAAGCAACTGTTTCCCTCCCCTTCCGGTGAGCAGCTTCGCGGAGGCAAAGAGTTACGGCACTTCCTCTCCGAGTCCAAACATTCTTATCGAGTTATTCCAAGTCCTAAGTATGGAGAAGTCAGCTCCTTAGTGGCCAAAAGTTTCAATCCGAATAACCTACGCCTCGCAAACCTCCTCCGCCGTAATATCTTTTAATTTAGCGATGACATGGGCGACATGGGCTATCGCAACGGGTTCATTGCGACCCTTGACCAAAAGGCCCTTCTGCCATTTCTCCTTCTTGACTGCCTTGGGCAATGCGGGAGAACCCTCCAGGTACTTAGCGGATGCGTGAGAGGGCCGGATCTCGCACTAAGGATATGCCAGTCAGAGAGGAAAGAATGTGAGGATGTTGCAAGGGAGATGAGAACTCCATACCCATGGACCATCTGTCTCTATCTGGATTCGATCAAGTGGGATAGCTTTCACCACCTCCAGGTTCTCCTCCGTCTTCAGGCTGCATCCATTGACACCGACGTCCAAACCCAGCGCCAGCATCCGTTTCATCTCGTCCATTGTCCCTGTAAAACTGTGCACCAAGCCTTTCTTGGGAAGTTTCTCCAGTCTGGGAGCTAGCAACCTCTCAAAATCCTCACTTGCGGCTCTGGAATGAAGAAAGAGCGGGAGCTGTATGTCCACCGCAAGATCCAGTTGAGCTTCGAAATATTTCAGCTGAGGTTCTTTGGCGCTGAGGAACAGTCGGTCATAATCTAGACCGATTTCACCGAATGCAACAGCATGCCCGGCTGCTTTTGCTTCCAGCGCCAGAGACTTCAGCTCCTCCAACATCTTGTCTGGACCGCCAGGAAATTCATCGAAGAGCTTTGCTTGACATGGATGAACACCAACAGTTGCGTAACAGAAACCGGCTGGTAGCCGAGCTTGTCAGGCTTGATAGCACAAAGAAACAGTGGGTAAGGGAAGTTGTGTATGCAACTTACGGTAATTTTGAGCAAGCTGAATAGCATGCCGAGATTCTACTAGATCTGAACCAGTCACCATGAACTTCGTGCACCCCACATCGCGGGCACGCTGAATGACATCGTCAAGGTCATTGTCATGAACCTGCCTGCCGTGATATTCTCCTCGAAATACAGGGTCACCAAGGTTGATCCCAATCTAGAAGCAGTCGATCTTAGCAACAGTCATTGCAGATATGCTATGCTTGTAAAGGGACACTTACGTCAACATATCTCAAAGGCCTGTTAGAATCACTCATCTTGACTTTGGCTGGTACTTTATTCAGAAGAGCAGAACAGTAATATCTTTTGCTATTAGAGAGAGCATAAGAAGATGTACGTCCTGACTTCAGCAGACTGCTCCCTGAGACTGCATTTATCGGTGAGCCAATCCGCAATACTACCGTTTCCAATCCATTTAATCAGGCAGAGGAGCATTCCTTCCGCTATGGGATTGAATTCAACCGTCTAGACATACCTGGACAATTTTCAGGGCAACTCAGAGGCAGTTGCGAGCGTCGATTGAGGGACTTTTCTCTGATCCTGAATCCTACGCAACCGAGGAAAGAGGTACAATTACTATTCCCGACAGTCTTCAGAATATTGCCTACGCTGGGAGTCACACGCATCAGACAATGAGGCACTTCGTTGAAGATGTACGAAGTCACTCCGAGCACTGTCCGTGGGCAATATTAGATTCCTGGCAAGCAAGTAGATATCATGTGCCGGAATACAATGATTAAATTTCTCCAAATTGTGTCCAGTACTCCGTAGTGCTTAGCCACAGATCCCCTGTGCCTGTGTGGCTGGAGAAAAAGCACGTGGTAAGTTACATAAGCCCTCCCCGGAGCGAAACCCGATGTCGACTGGTTTTGTCGGCGATGACCCCGATGCTTTCGACCGAGAAACTGGCAGTTCGGTGCATGAGAGAAGAGCAAGAATCGGTGTCTGCAACCTTTGAAGCGCATGTTCTGCTTCATGAAGAAAGGCAACTGGAGTAGAGACAGGTAAAGTGGGTTGCCTGTTTTGTATCTCTGCTGAGTTACCGGACATACATTGGAAGCAAATGTTCCCTATGTTCCCCTATTTTGTTGTGATTACTTGAGGCATCAAGAATCATCGTGAGAACGAACAGATAGCACTTTCGGTATTTCTGATCCCGAATTTCCTAAGCAACTTTTGATATTTGATCCGTGGATCCGTTAGCCCTTCCTTAATTGTTCATGCTTTCCAGCACTTTGGGCTAGCTGTGAACCCCCAAACGCGGCACTAGGCCGCTGTGGAGCAAAATTCACTTCTCCGCACTCTGCTTAGGCCCTTGTGGAGAGCTCTCCGAAGTGCAATGCCGCTTCAGTCTATATAACTAACAGTGCCTCTCGATATTCGTTTCAGGCTCATCTCCTGCAGTTGCTCGGGTATAATATCTTGTGGCTTGAAGTCTTCCCAAGAATTTGTCCTGCAAACCACTGATCTGCGCGAATTTCAGGAAAGTAAAGATGGCTGGCGACAAGCTCCTATCCACTAGGGAGGTGTCGAAACACAAAACGCCTGATGATTGTTGGATCGTTGTCGATAATAAAGTATGGGATGTAACTGATTTTTTGGAGGAACACCCTGGAGGATCAACAAGTAAGCTTTGCCGGTCATGCCGGGCACTGAACTCAAAAAGCTCACGTTGTTCAGTCATTCTGAAATACGCGGGCCGTGATGCCACCAAGGCCTACTCAGAGGTTCACTCTCCTGGTGTCATCAAATCAAATCTACCGCCAGAGAAGTACAAGGGAATCCTCGACACGTCCGCAATCGATGAAGAATGGCTCAAACAGCCTCCCGGCGAGAATCCACAGGTCGTCCTGGACAACGAGAAGCCGCCCTTGCACACTCTGATCAATTCACACGATTTCGAACTTGTGGCGTCCAAGACGGCAAGCAAAAAGACGTGGGCGTTTTATTCTAGCGCCTCGACCGATCTCATCACTCGCGATGCGAACAAGTCTTGCTTCGACAGGATCTGGTTTCGGCCTCGCGTCCTCAGAAACGTTCGATCCGTGGATTCAAGAACAAGGATTCTCGGCGTCGATTGTAGCATGCCGTTATTCGTAAGCCCGGCTGCTATGGCTAAGCTTATTCATCCGGATGGAGAGTGTGCGATGGCCAGGGCATGTGAGCGCAAAGGTATCATGCAAGGTGTACGTCATCATCCTATATCCCATTCCGTCCCATTGCACATTGTCAAGCTATAATGCTCATTGTTGAGCAGATTTCCAACAATTCTTCGTACACTCTGGATCAACTGAAAGAAGCGGCTCCTTCGGCAAATTTCTTCTTCCAGCTGTACGTCAACCGAGACAGATCGAAGTCTGCAGCGCTTCTTCGTCAATGCTCGGCCAATCCAAACGTCAAGGCGATCTTTGTGACAGTCGATGCTGCATGGCCAGGCAAACGGGAAGCGGATGAGCGAGTCAAAGCCGATGAGAGTTTGTCTGTGCCCATGGCACCGGCGCGAGCGAAGAACGACAAGAAGGGCGGCGGCCTTGGACGTGTTATGGCCGGCTTTATTGACCCTGGACTGACTTGGGATGACTTGGTGTGGGTTCGAAAGCATACGCATCTACCTGTGTGTCTGAAGGGAGTGATGTCTGCAGATGACGCGATCTTGGCGATGCAGGCTGGGTTGGATGGCATTCTTCTCAGTAATCACGGAGGTCGCAATCTTGACACGAGCCCTCCCTCTATAGTCACTCTGCTTGAGCTTCATAAGCGCTGTCCGGAGATCTTCGACAAGATGGAGATATATGTGGACAGCGGAATCCGTCGGGGAACGGACATACTCAAAGCCATCTGCCTGGGTGCCACCGCCGTTGGCATGGGGCGCAGCATGCTCTTTGCCACGAACTACGGGCAGGAAGGAGTCGAACATCTGATAGACAGTAGGTGATGTCCCACGTCGAAACCTATGGAGCTAACCAGCCTTTGCAGTCATGAAAGATGAGCTAGAGACAGCGATGCGGAACAATGGGATTACGTCACTCGATGAGGCTGGCCCTCATATGGTCCACACGGGCGATATTGATCATCTAGTTCCTGACTCTCGGTCACATCCGTATGCCCGAGCGGTTACAAAGGGTCGGCGTTCAAAGGAAGTCGCCAAGCTTTAGACCTGACGAGATCGGGATCCAGGAGGATATTTCTCTCACAGCCATGCATTCAGGTTTTATGATACAGTAATACATACACTGGAGCAGTGAACCATTATGATAGATACTACAAGCTTGTATTGGGCATCACTTGAGTATCATGTTCCGATTGCTGACCCGGCCCTTGCTTGGTATTTATACTGCCACCTTATCGAGCGGCTGATTCAGGAAGAAACACTGAGCTTTATGGACATGGTTGTTCGTCTACTGCACTTGTAGCCAGTAGTCTAGCCTTTGGTTCGTACTTATTATAGGTCTGCATCAGGGATATGCGCAAAATATATTTTGTGCGGGTCGTCACCACCATGTTACGGAAATCAAGTAAATTCTAACGATACCTACATTAACAGCATATCGAGATCCCATCAAGTATTAAAATCACATATTGCTTTCCAGACGAGACAGGCAGAGCAAAAAAATTGAAAGACCCAAAAAATAACAAAAAATGGTCACTACGAGGGTCGAACTCGCGACCTTGGCGTTATTAGCACCACGCTCTAACCGACTGAGCTAAGCGACCAGTTGTTGAATAACTCAATATTTTAAAGATATATCAGTAGTAATGATCTTGTCCTACCGTTCGCCCTGCTATGTAGCCCTGCTTAACCCACATCTGTAAGAGAATGCCTGGTGAACATCCACAGTGTTCTTTCCAACCAAGGAACGTGAGGTATTTGACTAGTAAATTTGTAGAAGAGGAGTTGATTAAGGATAGAGAGAAGTAAAGCACGTGAAGTTTCTGAGGGCAAGAGCCAGTAAATATTCGATAAAATTAGACCACCAGTAGTTGATGTGGTCAATGATTCTATATCACCTCTTCTTTACCTTACTTGCTTCACGCCACACCCAACAGCGAAGCTTGACACAGTCCTATTACGCCAAGCCCCATCCAAGATGCCTTTCCAGAATATGAGCGCAGCGAGCGCTAGACCAGTTCAAGGAATTCGCCAGGACCCGACTTTACAGATGTGAAGATAGGCTCACTGGAGACAAGTCCCGAATAAATGACCACATGACCATTCGACATTTTTTGTTAATCTTACCCAAGTTCTGTGTACCCAGCACGGAAATATGCGAATGTGATCCATTTCCAGACGACACCGAGTTATCACATTGTAGAAGTCCTTAAGGTGAACCCCTCCCGGGTGCGAAAGTACTACCGCTGTCGTCTTTATTTTGCTGTAGTCTAGTGGCATACATTTGCTGGCGACGCAAACGACCGACTATCAAGGCAAGCTGGCGCGTCCCCAGGAGTGGTCCGCATTCGATCAACTCGGGGTTGGGTTATGTTTAGTATGATCTTACGAGAGCGTCAATGACATGGATAAACATACAATTAATGATGGATATGCGAGTCGGATCGAAGGAAGAAAGGATCAACTGAATTGCCTCCTATCATATACATTCCGGAAGACCAGGACCCCGGAACTTTACCATGCATTACAACTGTCTATCCATAAAATTATTTCACGTCACCAGTGTATGACGGGAGAATGAGGGGAAGATCAACAAGAACGGTCAATCTAAAACGTGCCAGTCGGAGAAGATGCTCGCAAAGTCCGAAGGTGGATGGTGGGTGGTCGATTTCTAGGTTGCTCAGATGATCATCAACTCCCCGTCTCAATGGTGTTCCGCAGTCATAGTCTCATCGAAATGGGACCGCAGGCTGATTCATTGGCTGCTTCACCAACCGGGGCACCGGGGGAAGATGGCATAATTCTCGTCTCATCCTTCAACGCTTCAACAGAGTAGAGATAGTACGATCTAGTCTGGCAGAATCCCAAATCCGGGATACCTCCATCTCCGGGGTACGGTGTAGTTTTACGGTGACTCCAAAGGTACAAGTAGTACAAAATGTACGACGCAGATTCCATCCTACTTCCCCTTCCACCCTACCTCACCATTATCTCACATTTCTACCCCTCATCGCCCATCCATCTCGGTCTGTTGAAGGAGACTCATCATTTCCCCTGTGTTTGCTTTTTCTCACCTTTGATTTCCAGACAGACAAATCCCTTACTGCCTACCTTAAATCTGCCTGCCCAGAACGCTACTCACTCTGTACGCTGTCGATCCCTTTAACCGCACTTTTTAGTTGCTAGTCGTTGCTACTATTACAATCCGCTGGGTCACTAAGTCAGCATAGCCAGACTTGGCCAGACCGCCCCGTTTCCCAGTGTTCCAGGTATCCACTCGGAAGCTACCTAAAAAAGGACAATCTAAGGTAGGTAGAGCTCATCCTATGCCGTTCCCCCCCAACGGTTCGGATCCCTTGAGATATTCAAGTATATCAGCTTTCCCCGAGCCACCCATTGCCATTTTCCTTTCTCTCCTCTCTTCTCCTACTCTTAATATATCTACTCTGTCTCTGAAAATACGTTACTCTAACCTCGACACTTTATCACACCTCATTCTACTCCTTATCTCATCCTGATCGCTTAGCATAAACTCATTCAGCCCTATCTTCATAGTCCATTCCAGAGCTCAACAAATATCCATCGAGCAACTTTACTGACTCGTTTACACTAATACATCTTTAAAGCGACATTTTACCTTCAAACTCTCGAATTCATAACTCTTTCATTGATCATGGCTGCTCCCCGTTCAACTTCATTACGCGCTCTCCGCGTGCTTTCCCAGCAACATACCACTACACCTTGCGTTCGCCGTAGCTTGCATATCACTGGCGCAAACTCCGCTCAACCGGTTAATGTGACCGACAAGGCTTCGTTTTATGCCACTCGTACTTTGGCTGATCTCAAGCTCGAATGCAAAAAGAGATCGATAGCAAGCAATGGTACTCAGGCCGAGGTTTGTATACCAGTTAGCCCTGTCACTCATGCATGAGCTGCAACTGATCCTCCTATCTTCAACTTAAAGCTTGTGGAACGGCTTTCCAACCATGATTTCCTACAGTCCCGTGCTTTTAGCATTGCCATGAAAAGAATCAATGGCAACGCATCTACAGAGTATGCTCGCCCGCACTTAGTTTACTCACCGAAACACTCAGCACTGACATCATTTGTTACCATATCCAGTCCCTCCGTTCGTCATTTCAACACTTCTCGTGCCGCAAAGGCCGTCGGAGATTCATCCACCGTCGATTTTGCATACTTCCCTTCTATGGAGGAGATTGATGCTCCCGCCTCCCGTCCGGACCCACGCTTTCCGATCCTCTCCGATATCTACAAGTACTATGATCCCTCAAAGCAGTCGATCGCGTCCGACCCGCCCATGAAGCCGCAGGTCTATACTGTATCCGGAGAAGATGTGGCTGCGAGCCCCATGAGTGAGGTTGTTGACAATCACTCAATGGACATTGATCCCTTCTCCCTGACGGAGACCGTTGGCAGATCCCGTTTCGGGGAGGAGCTGCAAAGACAGCAGAACGGTTCACAAGCCAAGGAGCCCGGTATTGTCAGGGAGCTTTGGTCCGGATTTCTGGAAGACCTCTTAGGTCCTAAACAGCAGACCCAGAGAAAGTGACTTTGACGTATGATTTTGTTGTATGGAATATTAGCGCCGTGATTTAATGACGAAGCGCTCCGTTCTAAATTTCTTCTATCTTCTGTCATTTCCGGTCTGGTGAAATAATTTTTTGATCTCCTGCTTCTCAGGTACACGTTTCAACCCATGCCAGTCCTCTAGGAATCCATGGCTGAGGAAATAATTCTACCACTACCGTTGCAACTGCTATCGGACCTAATAAGTGGACATGACGTACAATTTCCATTATTATTTACCTAGGCTAAACTATGATGTCCAAGGGATCAGTCACCAAGGTCAGAAAACCATCCACTTCGGCCCTCGGTAGCGTTGAAAGAAGTAACCGATAGTCTTCTAGAAAATGCTAGGGTATTGTCACAGGATACGTACTCTTTCTGCCTTCGGAAAAGTATCTAAGAGGTGATATGATGGACTGACGAGAGAGGTCTCCCGGCCCCTTCCGAGGCGGATTATGCTCTATTCCATCCATGAATCATCATCCACGATCATGGTTCTGGTGGTTCCTGGCCGAGTTTTCGTGAAGGATTGCATTCCTGCAGGAACAAAATTTGTGACTACTGCTTAGAGTGGCAGGATTACAATTAATGATATCTGTCTCGATTGAAGCGCCAACGCACAATACACTGCAGTGCACACAACGGGAGCTACCCCAGGTTCCAGTTGCGGAAGAACATTCAACTTTCTTCAAGACCAGTTGACTACGGAGTACAAGGCACTATTTTCTCTTAGCTGTAGAATCAACCGACAACATGACGAATCATTTAGCACCGCCCATGTGAGCACATACCCCACCTTTACCTACTCCGAGGATGATGCAAGGGAACTACGTCTACACGGTAAATCCAGGGGCAGAATGTCATTTAAGGTCACATGAGTCACTCACTCCCATTAACTCTTCGCCAAGAAAATCTGGAATTTGGGGGCATATCACGTGATTAAGATGCAGCGAAAAGGCAATGCTAGCAACTATTCTGCCGCCTTAAATAATCATGATATTGTGAGAAGGATCATTATGTCCTGTGTGTCGACGGTCCAGACAGTATTGATTTACCAATAATCTACTTCATATCAAGTAGACTTCCTCAATCGCTCGGATCTCGAGCACTTGCAACAACGCTGACAATTTAGATAATCGAAGGCCATGGTAAAAAATAGCACAGGATCATCCCCAATGTGACAGATATCAGAGTATAGCAACATATATGATAAAACGTCAGTAGTGGCAAATCAGTGTTGTTATCGAAGCTGCTGAAACAGCTCTTGCGTCCAAAGACGCCAACAGCTCCTTGTGGTGACAATGTATGGGACGGAGACGAGTGTGTCTTTGTCGTCTTTCTTGCGTGAGACTCGTCCATCTGTACTCCGTGTAAAAGAAAGCCACTCCTTGTTCAGCTTGATTCCAAGGATGACGCCAAGCTATTTGCAACCAAAGCGGATTTCGCAGCTCGTAGGTTCTGTGGCTGACTCGATATCCAATGTCTCTATGCAGGCCTGGTCTAGATTTTGACTGGGCAGGGCTGGAAGCTAGAAAGGCGCACAACATGCATACAGTGGATCAGCTTGACTTGGCGTTCCTGCTTGCTCGCCTGTTCAAGACATCCTCGGTTGAGAAAGATTTTGACTCTCAGCTTGAGGGATGTATCTCGACTTTGAAATTTGAACCACGGCTGCTATTGAATAGTGACCAGCAATACCTTCTCTCAGGGGTGATGCAACCTTTAGATACCCCCGCTTACTATAAATCCCGATAGAAGCATTAATGTGCAGATCGGAGGCGGCCAGCAGGGCCATGACCCATAAAGTGGCTATTAAAGAACATAACTAAACGGACTCATGAACCACTTGTCAGTCAGATTCCTGCCTCATTGAAAGCATTAAAACTAATAAGTGTTAGTATGATGGAGAATTGTCCTCTGTGCCTGCACAGTGCCCAAGCTAGACAATGAGAGTAACTGTTTTAGGTGTGGAGCTACCTAGAGATAGTTAGTGAGTCTACCACTAAAGAGTTAGTGACTTGCCGAAGGTTTGTTCTAGTGCTTTGGGGTCTTAATACTTGATCTGCTAGTGGAGAACATCCCCTATCCATCAAGCACCTGCCCACCTGCTGCACACCATGCGCTTCATCTCTCATCTTCATCCTCATCTGCATCTCTCATCTCTCACCTTTGCAATGAGCTCTTGTTATATCGCTCAGCAGGGTGCAGGTCTTTTGATCTGTTAAGAATTCTTTCTTTTGCTTGTTCTTTATACCCCCTCTATTATAGACTGCACCCTCAGCGTCTCTTCCTTCATCGCGCTTTGTCTGGATTTCACTCTTTAACTACAGTAATACCCCATAGACAAGCATTGCAGATTCGGTTCTACTCAAATCACTTTCACTACCGTCATTTAATCCTAATATATCGAGGTTCTGGTACTCCAAAGTCTCCGTCATAGCAATTGACCCCTCTCATGGTTTTGTCAATATTGCGACGAACATAGATCCCCTCTAGGATCATGCATCTCTTACAATGTCTTCTTTCGACCATTTCTCTCGCCTCCACAGTTACAGCCTTTGTTCCTTATTCATTTAATCTCGAGGTCTCGACCGACGAGTCTGCCAGCAATGATGTTGCCCGCCGTTTCGTGCCATGGAAATTACTGCCGGACGACTCAGACAACAATCCCGGGTCCTCTTCAGAGGGTGTCTCTTTAACCCTGGACCTCAAAAAGTTTCCTGTCCGCCGTGATAACAATTACAAAGTTGTCTTGGCAGAAGAACCTACAACACCCAACACTGCCGCTCTTAACCAGGAGGGCCTCGATTACTCTTACTTTGCTACGGTCAGGGTCGGCTCTCAAGACCAGCAGATGTGGATGGTTCTGGATACGGGGGGACCGAATACTTGGGTCTTTGGCTCAGACTGCACGACTGAGGCCTGTCAGCGACACGAAACGTTCGGCGAAGCTGCTTCAAAGACTCTCAAGTTATTACCGCTCAACTGGGCTGTCGGGTATGGGACAGGATTGGTCAGCGGCGTCCTTGGGACAGACAGTCTCTCACTTGCTGGTTTAGATGTAAATATGACGTTTGGCTTGGCCAAAAATGCTTCCACCGATTTCGAATCGTATCCCGTGGATGGTATTCTGGGCTTGGGACGATCGGCTAATAGCAATTTCAACACTCCGTCGTTCATGGAATCCGTCGCGGCGCAACGCCTTCTCAAATCGAATATCATCGGGTTCAGCTTCTCTCGCAACGCGGACGGTGCCAGAGATGGAGCGGCGAATTTTGGCGATGTAGATACGACCAGGTTCACGGGCGATATCGTCTACACGAACACAACTGGAGACAGCAATAACTGGAGGATACCCTTGGACGATGCCAGTGTGAATGGTACACCTTGTCGTTTTGCCAATAAGACCGCCGTCATCGACACTGGCACATCGTACGCCATGCTTCCCCCGAAAGACGCCACAGTGTTGCACAATCTCATTCCGGGCGCTGTCACGACCTCACAGGGGCAGAATTTCACCCTGCCGTGCAACTCGACGGCAGTGGTGCAAGTGAGCTTCTCGGGCCTTAGCTACAACATCTCCCCCAAGGATTACGTCGGACCAGCATACGGTTCGGCCTGCTTGTCCACTATTGTGGGACAAGCCTTGTACGGAGACGACGTGTGGCTCTTGGGCGATGTGTTCTTGAAGAACGTCTATTCTGTGTTCGACTATGACAATCATCGGATTGGCTTCGCAAATCGTTCTGTTCCTATTACCTCACCAACCACTACGGTCGCTACAGCCGCAAACCCTTCTGCGACAGACGGAGCTGGGTCGACTTTGACTGGCTCCATAGCAGTCCATACTGGGAGTGCGTCTATTGTATCCCGATTTGTCCACTGGCCCTTTGTGTCCGCACTTCTTTGCATGGTGTTGGTGTAGCCAAGCTCCACCACACCCAATATGCTTTTTTCGATACCAGCTTATATACCTTTCATCATTCTATACATTGCCATATTACTGGCTACGCCTTGATGGGTCTTTTATTACTTACCCAGCGTAAGCATGACTGCAGATTCTCTTGAACGCTTTTTCGAAGGGGTACTTCGATAAAGCTATAACACATACTGTCTTTTTAATCCAGACGTTTTACTGATGGCATGAGTGGTTCCTAGAGTACGATCTGTAATATAGCAGATGACATTACCAGAGTCTCCCAGTGTCTGAACTGCGAATGAGCTCTATGTACATGCATTTTCCAATAATGGTCTCCAAATTTTGAACGCACGTATAGACAAAACATATCAGAGAACCTTGTCCGGTATGTAGGTATAGGACCTGGGATAAGACTCTAATAAATGATCAGCGGCCGTGCCTTTCCTCACTGAGCTCGACATACCTAGTATAGACCGATCAAAATCTTTGACATTATTAAATCCCCCAACTCCCATCAAGATATCAAAATCCGCCAGGAGTGACTTCATGACATGGCGCACGCCCTCCTCGCCCATGATACTGAGCCCCCAGATCCAAAGACGACCGACAAAGACGAACTTCGCGCCCAGCGCCAGCGCTTTGACGACGTCACTCGCACCCCGGACCCCAGAGTCATACATGATGTAGATCTGGTCACCCACAGCGTCGACAATATTCTCCAGCGCATCAAGACTGGCGATCGCACCGTCGACCTGGCGGCCTGCATGGTTGCTCACCACGATGCCGTCAACACCGTACTCGACGCACTTTCTCGCGTCCGCGACGGACTGGATCCCCTTGATGACGAACGGCCGACCACCGGAGATGGACTTCCACTTCTCGATCAGCCAGGGGATTGTCTCCCAGGACCAGGCCCAGCCATGCCAGACGGAGTCGATCCACTTGGTCGAGGCGGCGACGACGTCTTTTTCAATGTCTATACCGACCTCCTGACAGCGCTTCTGAAACACTGGGTCCGTTAGCCCCAGATCAGCGCCAATGCCCCGGTAAAACGCATAATTCGAGTTGGCGACATCGTCATGACGCCAGCAGAGCTGCCATGTATCCGTTGTGAGCATCAGTACGTCGAATCCGGACTTCCAGGCGCGGTTGAGCAGCGAGAGCGTCAGCTCGTCATCGTGGGGCATGTACAGCTGGTAAAAACGCGGGCCTGATCCGTTCGCCTCGCCGACCTTCTCGATTGGTGTGCTGCCGGCTGTTGAGAGGCAGTACGGCAGATTGAGCTCGTGCGCGACCTTCGCGACGGCGACCTCAGCAGCAGGATGGTAGATCTTGTTGATGCCAATCGGGGCGAACCCGATGGGTGCCGAGACCTTGTGGCCGAAGATCTCAGTTGTTGTGTCGCGGAGGTTGGTGTCGACGAGCTGGCGGGGGACAATGCGGTGGCGGTAGAAGGCTTGTCGGTTGGCTAGGTGGGTATTGGACATGCCTGCGTTCGACGAGGCATAGTACCTGTGTGGAATGTGTTTTAGTATCTGGCTCATCCCTCGTGGTCGAGCTTTGAGGACATACCAGCCACCCTGGCTGAGCTTTTCGCGGGCTAGCTCTTCGAGTTTTCTGGGATCTTTACGCTCGAACCTTAGTTCGTGCCTTCGATGCTGTACCCTATGTCAGAATATACATACCAGTGTTGAAAGGCACAGTCTTGCCCTCTCTTGCTTTCAAGAAGTTTTCCCGTTGATAGAGAGCCCATTGGGGCGTTGATCTCTGCTCAATGTTGGGGTTGTTAGGGTCACTCATCGTGTTGGCTGATTGATCTAGCACATCAAAGGCACAGTAATAGAATAGAGAGTGCTCATACAATTATATGAGCCGGTTCGCTGATATATCAAACGTATCAAGCCGTCTGGTTCGACACATGACTCCCCAAAGTCACCTTTATCAATGACTTCATTTTGACGCATTCTCGGACAAGAGAGATGATCGCCTACATTTGGCCTGGGTGGAGTAGTTGGAAGGCAGGTAACAGTGGTAGGAACGCAAGCATGTGGTTTGATAGTACCTATCTACTAGTAGTGACCATTTGGAGCCGCGCATAGATTTTTCTGCTCGTAAACACTTGATCCGCGATTGATGCCGAATGCTTCAGGCAAATAGATCCCGATGATGTCACCAGATCTGCTGTCAACAATCAACCATCAACAACATTCTCAACAAACCAACATACATCCCGATGAGCACGGAAGTTATTTGGAGTCTATTATGTGAAAGCCTCTTCAAATCTCCACAAGCTTGAACCCTATACAGATTCTATAAAGTAATGAATGAGGGATATTGTTCATTGTTGGCCCCGACTTCATCCGGGCGGAAACGGTCTCGGGAACCCAACCGATTAATCGAGCCGACCACTGTTCCTTGCCCCTACTCCGCAAATAAAGGAGTCGAACAGGGGGTGTTGGTCTAGATCGGTTCATAAATCTATACATATACAGCTATATTCTACTGATAACCGAGATCGGGTACTTCTGACGACTTCACATTTCCATCATGTTCAGGCTCAGCGCGCGAAGATCCGTTGTTACTCGGGCACAATGTCTATCACCACACACGCCCAGCTCAACCGTTCTTCGCATAAAAGCTGAGCTCCCATCAACAAAGTCATTAATCTCGTGGAGGGATTTCCACCCCAGCGCAGTGACCAATGTTTCTTCCAAGCCGACATGGATGCCCATGCGGGTCAAGACTCCGTGGATCGAGGCTCTGACGAAGAGTCGCGAGGATGCGCAGTCGGGCCAGACACCTCGTGCGCAGGGAAAGCCAGACTTGACACCAAAGAAAATGTCAGATAGTTATTACAGTGCCGTAAGTTGCGCTATGAATGTTGTTTGTTTTGCACGAATGCGAATGGAGTGACCGAGTGCAATCATCTAGATTTTACCCCTGAGTCAAGACAAATGGTTGCTGGATTCTTACCTGAATGCTTCGGGACATATCAGGTACGATTGTGTTTTCTTTCTGTGGGGTATAACTCATTAACTGCTCCTCTCATAGACTGGGATCACTGCTGATGGACCTGGATGCCTTGGCGGGCATCATCGCGTACAAACACGCCGGTGAATCAGTAGCTACTGTGACCGCGGCAGTGGATCGGATTACCATCGAGCATCCTCTAATGGAGATTTGTGATCTTGAGCTGAGCGGTCAGGTCACGTATGCCACGGGGAGATCAAGTATGGAGGTGTCCCTTCAAGTGACCAGGGTCCCTGCGGAAGGAGAACCGGTAAAACCGGAGGATGTCCTTATTACCTGCGCCTTCACCATGGTCTCGCTTGATCCCGCCACCAAGAAGTGAGTGTTGAGTATTAAGATCTCGGTGAGCAGCACTGACATCCCCATTAGGCCCGTTCCTATTGCACCTTTGCTTGTGGAAAATGCGGAGGAACGTCTTCTCTTCCACAAGGGCGAGGAGAATTATCAAGCCAAGAAGGCTCTGAGAACGAGGAGTCTCCTGGAGAAGGCGCCTGACGCCGAAGAAAGTGACTTGATACATAACATGTGGACGAAGGAGATGGCGTATTTGAGTGAGTGACAATAATCCCTTCGGCTGTCACAAAGCTGATGCTAACGCGGGAACAGATCCCGAATCACCTGCCCAAAGACCTGACAATATGGTCTTTATGAGCGACACAGTACTGAAATCCGCCATGATTATGCAACCGCAGGATCGCAACCGACACAACTTTATGATCTTCGGTGGCTTCCTCCTCAAACAGACTTTTGAACTCGCATTCTGCTGCGCCGCCTCATTTTCCCACGCCCGTCCCAACTTCATCTCCCTGGATCCCAGCACCTTCGAGAACCCTGTGCCCGTGGGAAGCGTTCTCTACCTGCGGGCTACGGTTGCTCACACAGAACCCCTGGAGCGAGACGGTACCACATACACCAAAGTGCAGGTCCGCGTCGACTCTAAGGTTAGGGACGTGGAGCACGGCAGCAGGAAATCTACGGGCCAATTCAACTATACCTTCTTGGTTGAGAAAGACATTCAGGTCATGCCCCGAACTTATGGTGAATTTATGCTCTGGACCGATGCGCGCAGACGAGCACAGAATGCTGCCGCCATGGTGACTGGTTCTAGGGAGCCCAGCACGCTTCGCAACATCAAGAATAGTGTGACTGAGTAGAGATTTTCATTTGGAGCAGAGCATTCGTCGAAATTTGGAGTGTTTGTATTTACAGTGATGGAAATCTATCAACAGCTAGACACTATTGTCGAGTCATTGGAACTTTGCAACAAGTGAATATAGTAGCCAGTCACATGACATCCGGTGCTCCGCACCAGCAATCAACAATCGCTCTTAAAACTTGTCGCCCTCTACAAAGAATCTCCTTCGTTTCTGTAGTCAAACATTCGGATCCCACTCTATATCTATAACTTATATATCTTATAGACTTAAGCTCTTGCCGAAGACTCAATGTCACTCCCCAATGTATGGCATCTACGTCGGGTGGCCGATACTGCCGCCAAAGCATGCTTCGTTTGCTACAAGCCCTCCGCTAGTGTTCTGATTACACCAGACAACAAGGTAGGTTCGCCTCGCTATTGAGATGCAGTTATCTTGTACGGACTCTTTGTCAGGATCCTGCTGACTACGTAGGACTTTTTCTATGTCTGCCCTGTCCATCTACAAGATAGGCATTTCTGCTCTCCTATCGTGGACTCGGAGCAGGCGGCAGCCAAGGCAAAGCAGGAAGCATTGGCGCGGGAAATTGAGATAGTGAAAAAGGAGTATGAAGAGAAGCAGCGACGGAAGAAGGAAAAAGAGAAGGACAAGAAGACCGATGAGGAGCCAAAGGATTCAGACAAGAAATCCAAGAATTCCAAGAAATCGGACAAGGAGGGCGACAGCGGCGCCAAGTCACTTGAGAAAGAAAGAGATGAGAAGGTAGAAATGGCCCTTTTCTTACCTCTGCAACTGGAATAATTAAGACAATTCGCTGACATGGACAGATCGAATCCCTCACCAAGTCCGCTTCGTCGTCCGCTACGGATGACTCGCCTCGTATTTTCGCTTTGCATAAGTATGTCTATTCCCAAACCGGATACGTAGCTAACCACGTCATCCTTGACCTGAACTAACGATGGACAGAAATTTCTACCAGATGCGCGTCGACAGACAGCGTAATATTGAAATGGCCAAGCGGAATCGTCAGCGCTTGCAAGAACCATCTCTCTTCCCATCTGTCCCGTCCGGCGATCTTTGATGCGTGACGGTCATATCTATCATTTCTTTTGATGCATAGAAGCTATCTATCTATTCGCTGAACGTTGAACCTTTTCGGGAGTCGTGTGCGGAGTACGGACTAGGATGCGGATCCTTCATGCCTGGCAAGGCTGGCACCAAATGAAACCTAATCCGCGGGTAGCCTCAAGGCTGATGCGCTGGCGGATTCTGAGCTCAAGCGACTGTTTTTGGAATTGGGGCAGCTACTCAACAAAAGCATCCCACTATCCTGCTGCTGATCCTATCTGCGGTCATATCAGTTCCGCCTTCTCAATTACCAAGAGGACAGATTCATTGGCAATGACCGAGTCACAACGTGATCCGGATAGCCCGCCGGCAGCCGGCAGCTAGAACGTCTCACAAAATTTCCAGAAAGACGGCTGTGCATACTGTGGTAAGCACTAGCCTGGATAAGGAAGCACGATGTGATCAAGCCGTTGCAGAAAGCGAACGGTGCGGTACGTTCGGATACTATGACAGAGTATCTGCTGATCTTTCTGGTCACAGCATGCATAAGCCAGGTGTGAATGGCGGATTATACAACATCTCCTGTTTCGCTCAGTTCGGCGGCAGTTCATTGCAGAGATTATCTTGAACCCTACCTTGCAATCAGAAAATTATATGGACGCAACTTTTGATCTGCTGCGCCAATTACTGCCCTATCCTCTCTCCGTGGAATTTATTGTACGCCAGTCATCAGGAGACTAGCTCCTTCACCGACTAGCAATCTGCCTGTCGCCTGATCAAATACAAGGATGTCAATTATATCACCGAAGATTACCAGGGCCGGCACCTTGAACGAGGAGGAACAAGGCACGCTGGTTGCCTGAACAGGTTGCAACATTGAAGACCTGCTGTGCCTACAGTTACACTCATGATTCTCTGCCCATCGTCAGGAGATCATCGATCCCCTGATGTAACAGCAAGGGTGCTGAGCTGCCAGCCCTGCGATTATCGATCTACAATCTCAGAAATCCACCGCGTGACGTCATCCTCAGATAAACCAACTGCCACTTTGCATTAAACAGAGGAGACATAGGTATGCAGCTCAAACAGTCTCGCCGCTCGATCTGGTTTGATCGCTTGGCTCCTGAAATGAGTGAAGTACATACACCTTACGAAGTGGACCACTTCCTGTCTCCGTAAGGCAGGTAGGCTGTGCATCTCCTTGGCAGAGATGACTGGCTGACAAGCACGGACTTCCTGAATGCCTGCCTAGACGGGTGACATATTGCGATGGCCAACCCTACATACTCCTTTTATAGTTGATAGCTGGTTGGTCCATGACTCCGTCATACCTTCCTCCCTAGTGGTCTGAGGCGCAGCAGCTGCATGTAAATCTCTCTCCCCAGAACCCAGAATAACGATCAATGAAGATGACATTGAAGATCGCTGAGTGCTGCTTATGGCGTGGTCTACCAGTTGACACCGGCAACATACGAAGGAATTAACCAAGGTAGGAAATGAAAAATACACAGATACGATACAGAAAGCCCACAGCCCCTGACACGCGGAACCCCGCGGAAATGGGAAGATCGAAAATTGCAAACAATCAGGTCCATGGGTCCTTGGTGCGTCCAGTTGCGTAAGAGCAGTTTGCACAGCCCCCTTGCCGAAGCTAGTGTTGCAGCCCACATTAGCCTAGGCCCTGCTAGCCTACCACGGCCAGGGGTTGACTTGTGCTTACCAAGTAGTCAAACCACTGGAGAACCAGCAACGGATTTTACGGAATATTCCATGAAGCTACATAGTACTGCGTTGAGTAGTGTATCACTAAGACCTTGAAAGAAATATGATCGTCGCTGCGTATGATCAGCATTCGACAGCATACGAGAAAGCCTTTAGCTGATAAGGCTGACTATTGCCTTAACATGGATTATTCTCAGTACCCCTCTAGGGAGGTATTTACGGTATCTCCCTGAAGGTCTGAAGGTAGCAAACTAGAATGTCATTCATCCTTGGTCTTCTCTTGCCGCAGATCCCCGACTGGTGCGCAACCAGCCATTGGTCGCTCTGTCCATTCCAGATGGGGCTGCCTTAGGCCCCTCCAACAGCCTCGTGGGGATGTGGGTTCAAGCCCTGGATCCTGGATGAATGCTGACAGGCGGCACAGGCCACTAGCCGCGAGGCCCTTGGTTCGATGACATAAGGCAAGCTAAGGTAGGTTCCTGGTCCTGGTAAAGTATACGCTTCCTGGTACAAACTGAAAATTGCTCCATCACACAGAGTTCGCGGAAACAAGCTCAAGACTTGAACTGTGCAACAAATGTAGGGGAAGTTACATCATCGACCGAGATTCTCCAACGCTTATACTAGCTGTCTTCAGGAACGAGGCTGTTATAGCGCTTAGGTCCCGACATCTCAGAAGTGCCAACTTATATCGAATAATCAAACTAATGGGCAGGCATTCCGATGAAAGGCGAATCATCAGCCTTGTTAGTTGTTCCAAGGTCAAGGCATCATAAGGTTCAGCGTATGGTCCAACTTCTAGCACAGGCCGCTTTCATTTTAACAATCCCCACCGAACGATCGGCATCAGGGTCCTCCGAAACACCTTGACGACTAGAGATGTAATTTTTCGTGGATCCCAACTGAAGTTCTTCTTGCACGATACCTTGCTTGCGAAGTGCGATGAGATTACCATGTGTTCCTTGCCTTGCTTGTTGACCGCTATTCCTAATGCATCCTAATGCAAGGGGTCTCTGAATGATGAAATCAAGACGTGGATAAGAGCTCGTTGGAGTCATCATTCGATCGATGTTGCATATGTGTTTGTCAACTTCTGCTACCCACCCTCATAGGAATGACGTCCTGTTCTCGTGGGCCAAATACACCATTACATACAACCCGATGCACTTCTTGCTCTCGCCGATCGCCCATCCTCTTTGATACAGTCAATCTCGATTGTCTGAAGAATGGTTGCATTCGACGATCGCCTTATCTTACTCAGTTTCTTCAATGTCTCACCACTTGAGAATTGGTGGTGTCCATAGTAGGACATTCCTGAATTCCAAGAGTGGTGGCAACCCGGGACTGCTCTTAAGTGGTTGCAGCGGGAATGACTCAGTCTGCTAACGTAAGCTGAACGTAATCCAGACACATAAGGGCGCCGAGACTTGGATTAATGTTGGTGATGGGCACGTGGCGACGGGCCCAAATGTTCTTGGAGTGTTTCATCCCTTGCTAATCATCTGCGTCGAGACGTTGGTGGATTAGATTCTGAGGACCACGTCAAAGATTGCCGCGGCCCGCGCCTGAATCATCTGGAGGTCTCATGCCAGGTGGCATGCGGATCCCGAAAGCAGCTGGCGGCAAACCACCCGGCCCACGGGCCATGTTAAACCGATCAGATATATCGACTCTGGCTTTCGCGAGACCGATGGCTGGGACAACCCATTCGCCGCAGTTGCACTGCATACCCTGCCAGGCAAATTTGCCAATATTAGCTCCACAAGCTGTATTCGGACACGTCAAGCGGCCAGATAATGGTGCATCATCAGGACGGGAACCGTATTCTGTCGCTTCGGAGTCTGCAGTGGTATTAGGAAAAAGAGATGGTCGCATCCACGTCAGCGGATGGAGAAAAATGTGTGCACATTCCGTTGCTTTGTTATTCTGCCGTGGACCATGTGGTATGATGAATGGCGTGGTGGCCAGCGTACGCCTGGAGAGCCTATCAGACAGTGGTCTAAAGTGAAGGCAAGTAAGAAAACCAACCGGCATTTACGACACTTGATCTCAGTCGTACGGTCACTGGTCTCTTGAGGTCTGTGTGGCTGTTCATCCTCAAATAAGACCGACTGCATCTCAGGTGCTCGTCCACAGGCCACACTGTCTTCGACTTCGCGGCGATACAGCCAACGATTGTAGAGCGGATGGCCAGTAACATCGTCGGGACATCCCATTTCGTGGTAGAGAGCTAGCTGTTCCATGAACCCATCGTTTGGCTCGCAGAGTGGTCGGCCCTTCCTCAGTAAAGCAAGCGCAGACTGAGGGGTCAATGCACTGGGCTGCTGATGGAGCAGATAGGCAATACAGATGGTGGCGGAGCGCGATTTCCCCATTGCGCTGGTTGGTGTCAGTAAGACTTCAAATATAAATGGCAAAAACTCAGTAGCCGGAATATTTACTGACCAATGTACGAGCACACTGCCTCCAGCATCTAATCCCGACTGGATGAACTTGATAGCAGATGGGAAATGTTCCAAGAGATTCTCATCTCCAACATCGTCTGCATGAATGCAATGATGCTGGAAGTTGGCAAAAATCTCATCAGGTTGATTTAATCGTAGCACCGAGACTATGTGTGTAATGTTCGCTCTACTCAAAGCCGCCTTGTTCTTGACTGCTAGGATACTGCAAGTTATTCTATTTGTTAGCAGGTTTTCATCTTATCGATCACTTTGCTTTCGAGTCCCCTGCTTATTTTCGTTCTTGGCCCCGGATCATGGGGAGCTCAGCGGCACGACAAAATTCTATTATGACGGGAGGGGTAAGCTGGACTGACCCTCCGATGTAGATATCGTGTCCTGGGATTTTGTTCATAGCCATGCTGATACAAGGTTATAGCAGATCAACGAAGGACGAAATCATGAGTATAATGTAAAGGTCTCCTTGTATTGTAGGTACAGAGTTAGTGGACGTGACACTCTAATGAGCCTCGGAATCGATCTGAATCGAGCCAAGAAGAGCTCGGTGACTTTGATTGGTCTCTCGGGGAGAGCGCGCGGCGCCCCTCCCTGTGCCGTAGGTGCCTGAAGATTAAGGTGTAAGTAGGGCTAGGGCTAGAATCTCCACGTGCTGCTGGTTTGTTATTATGTATTGCCGTGGGTATTCTGTATTTAAGAAGGCCAAGCCTGAGACTCAAGACCGCTCTCTGTACGCGGGATCACTGGCTAATTCGAGATGCTTAGCTTCAACCGGGTAATCTAGGCAGTGGTGATATTGTCGAGATATAGAGAACGAGTCTCTTGCTTAACC